GGGGGGGGGGTATACTACAAAAGTACCGAATGTCCTATCTTTGCTGTCGATGAGGTACGTTTTTAGTTCTTTCATTGAAAAGTCATCAGGTACTTCTGCTAAATTTCTATTCCAACTGCTCCCATGAATATGTTTTCAAAAAAAATCAGGTGTTAACATGTTACGAAACTTTGAAAATTCAGATTGAAATGAGCACTCCTCGATATGGCGTCCGTCGTGTACACTCCACACTTTCCCCCTGAAACTTCAAATCCCGCAAAATCTCGCGTTCCCACGGATAATTTAGCGGAAGTCACGTGACCGTGGAAAAGACTCTATTTCCCATTGACAGCTGTACTAAAAAATGCCTGCAAAACTGCATTAACAAAAGAATTTGTTAAAACATTTCCTATCCCAATGAACAGTATACACATTGACTAAACTCCCAATGGCACAGAAATATACTGTTAAAGTGCTTCATTTCTTACCAGCAGTACTTGAACATGTGCATCCCTCTTGTTTGTAAACAAACCACTGCACCTCTCACAGTCAGTAGCTCCCTCTGCCAGGTCTAAAACTTCAGGACACCTGTGCCTGGTCCTGAAAATAGAATAGGAAGTAGTTTATACCCAAGGCTGCTCGTTGACACTAAAATGACAAGCAACACAAGAAATGTCAGGAAAAAATGGGGAAAAAATCACTAATCTTTCTCACAGCACTACATTCATCTATAACAGTCCGTGATTGGTCTATTTGGTGGATTCTGCCCTTAAAGATACCCCCACTCCCTTTTTTTTTTCTTCTGACACAAAATTAAAACCTTGATACACTGCATACTGCTCCACCTAATATGTGACTGAGCTCTGTCAAGTTGAAAATGTGCTCGCTGTATGGACCACTAAGCCAGCATTACAACTGGTGAGAGAGGCACAATTTCATGGGTGGAAAAAAGCTTAATGCAAATATCTGTGTCTGAATTTGCTTCAGATATTTGGAAATTTGGACAAATGATGCTGGGCAAGTTTGAAAATCTGAGATAAACATTTTAACTGGTTGTGACTAGTTTAAGTGCACTGCTGAGGAGTTATGTGAGAGAAGTGGAAATAGTGATAAAAAGATACTTAAAAATACTTAAAAATACTTAAACTCAAATGAAAGGCCTATTGTCACAACTGGTGTTTGTGATTGTTTGTAAGCATAAAGGAAATCAGTTCCCTGTCTTCACCTGCAAAACAATACTTACTGCCAACCAGGCTTATTGTCACAACTGATGGTTGTGTTTGTTTGTAAGCATACAGGAAATCAGCTTCCTGACTAAACTTGCAGAACAATACATAATCACTGCTAATAAGCCAGGTATCCCTTCTGCACTGGGGCCATGCAGTTTGCTGTTTACAAAGACTTCCTCTTCCCATCACTGTTCACACCTTTTGTGTCATGTGTCCTGTTTTCCTGCACACCTGGGAGAGACAATAGGGAGCTGATACTATAAAACCCCCTGTCCCTGGCTCCTGTCTCAGAAGTCACTTGCTTGCCACCATGCCATACGGTAAAGGTAGCTGGAAAAAACGAAGAAAAAGTCTATTTGTGAAGGGACACAAGTTTTCCCCTGGAAGACAGAAGCTTGACAGGCCTCCAGAGCCGGTTGTGAGAAGATTCATCAGACCCAGTGAAGAGTTGAACCAGGCAGCCTCCATTCCACCCCCTGTCGGGCCACCAACAAATCTCAGCAGCAGCCCTGATGCACCTGTCATACTGAGACCCAGCAGAGCACAGCCAGAAAATGTGAGCAGTAGCCAGCCCCAACCCCCAGATGATGAATACAAGTTGGTTTCAGCCAAAAGAATTGTCAATCTGGTCAACGAAATCTTGTCAGGGCATACAGCTGAGTGCTCTGGCTCAATGGTTTGGGACAAAGAAGCAGAAATTGGACTAAAATGTGACATGTGTCAGTTCAGGACAGGGAAGGATTCACAGTATAGTCCACTTAAGGAATAATGGATTTAAACAATCTGGTTGAGTTTGATGACCTCTGTTGGTATTGTGCCAACTTCTTCATTAAATATGTGGGGAAAGATGAAAAGGAGTGTGAATCACAAAAAGACAATTGAATTCGAGTGTAGAGCTAGAAGGAGAATCCTTAACCGTTATAGAAAATATGACCGATCAAAATCACTGAAATGTAATGACTATAGAAAATGCATATGATATGCGAAAACTTGTATTTCCTGATCACAGTTATTCAAAGATGAAAATGAATCATGAAAAGACAATTGCATTCAAGTTTAGTGGTGAGAGTGAATCACAAAAAGAATTGCATTCAAGTTTATAGCAAGAAGAGAATCTTTAACAGTTATAGAAAGTAGGTCAGATCTGAAGCATTGAAAAGTAATGACTATAGACAATTGATATCTATGCCAAATCTTCTATTTCCTGATATCATTTTTTCAAAGAAAACATGTAATTAAAAGAAAATGTGATTTCAAGTTACTGCTCTTTAATAAACTAGTTGTGAAACATTTACACAAGTTTGTTGGTCTTTCTTCTACTCTAATCTGAGAAATTGAATTAATAAACTTAGAAATAAAGTAAACGTAAATTTAAAAAAAATTTAAATTATCATGTACAGAATCAGGCCTTTCTCCATATTTGAGGCATTTTCATACATTACAACAATGTACCCTATTGTTGTTGATTCCATGAGGCTCTGCTGTGAGGTGACTGGGGTTACAGCACAAGGTGACTCCACACAAGTGAGATATGTTCTTCAGTGCCTCTTGGTATATGCAGAACTTTTTCTTTTATCATAAATGCCACCCTGTGCACTTCAACAGTTATGAAGTGGCTGGCTCTTGGAAATGTGACCTGCTTTATCCCTTAATGGACCCTACCCGAATAACTGGTTGCTTTAGTCATAGCCTTGAATATCTCACTTATGTGTTATGCAGTTTTGCATTTTTAAATTTAATTGAAATTTGTCAGCTGTTGCCTGGAAAAATGCTTCCTGTCATTTTTTATATGAAATGATATAAGACCACTCCTTTTTCTACCCTGTGCTGCTCTAAAAATAGAAACTTGTAAATGTGATATAATATATATTTTAATGATAATGTGATATAATTTATATTTAAATTGTCTTAAAATATACATTGTATCACATTAACAATTTTCCAAACCACCTAACATCATAAATAGACACTCAGAAACATATTTATTTATTTATTCTCACCACAGGGATGAAAGACAAAAAAAGGAGTACATACATAAAATCGCACACAAAATTCCCATAGTGAAATCACATAATGAAATTATTTTATAGTAATATAAATAATAAAATTATAAATATGCTCTCTCAACAGACACTTCAACTCTTGAAACAAACTTTTTTTATTCACATTCAAACAGGACCAGGTAGAGACATGTGAGACCAGTGTCCAGGACCATGAGGACTTCCAGAAGAAGTACTCCCTCAGTGTGGGCTGGCTGGAGGCTGCCTCAAAGAGACTGCAGGATGTGTCTGACACGGCTGGGGACAAGGAAGAGATTCAGGCCAGGCTGGCAGAAGTCAAGGTATGGTTTCAGGCCCGTAGCCAGGGGGGTTCGGGGGGTTCGAAAGAACTGCCCCTTTTGCTGGGAAAAGGTCCACTCTGGATAAAATTTGATCTAGGTACATGAAGTTTTAATGGGAAAAGGTCCACCTTTTCAGAAAAAGAACCCCCCTTTTGAAATTGCTGGCTATGGGCCTGGGTTTCATTATATACATCATACTTTAAAAACCATGTAATACTATACTATAATAAGTATCATATAGTTGTTCAAGTAAGGTACATGTATATAAGAGAAGATTAATAAGAGAGGGTGATGTATGAGATAATTCTAATCTAATACTAGTGACTCTGATATTGCGAATACATGGTTTTGTCTTGATATTTTATAATTTTCTAAGTATAAATTGCCACCTAGATTATTTTCTTTTAATCATGAAAGTATGTTATGTAGATTATAACTATTATTTATATGGATTTTTCTTGTTACCTGCTATGTTGCTTATAACATTTTACACTTACATTTACCCACTGTCACCTTTTGAAAAGAGATGGGCCTTCCCTTTGTTAAAATTTATTTGTTACTTAATGACAAGGCAATGTTACATTGCTTGTCTATGCAGTTAAAATAAATTGGCCAAATGATTCTTATCAGATTGCTATCTAAACTACCCTTCAAAGTGATCACTTAATTGTCTAATTGGTGGAATACCTGTTATAGGTAGGCGGAGGTGTGAAACTTGTTACTGTCGTGGTAGTAAGTTATATGACATGTGCTTAGCTGATCTTTGACACTTGTCTAATGGTTATTGTTAGGGAATACTGGGTATAGGCAAAGAAGGTTTAAGGTTTATGTTGAATCTTGTCAGTGTGAAAACTGATTAAATCTTCATTTGTTTGCTCATTTCTATAGGCCTTAGTACTCAAAAAAATACTAAACAATATTAACTGCAAAGAAAATGTGGAGCAGTAAGATAAAAATGGTTATTATTTACAGGAGTTGGCCAACAGTAAAGAAGAAGGTGCAGATAAGTTTAACTCGTGTCTGACGGCAGGGGACAAGCTTCACCCACACACAGCAGTTGAGGGGCGCGAGGTGATCCGCCACGAGGTGCGAGCCCTACGAGAAATGTGGGAGAAGTATTGTAACAATCTGACACATGCACAGAATTCTTTAGAGATGCGCCTAATGCAGTGGCAATCTTACGACGAAAGCCATGACCACTTAAAAGAATGGGTGGCTGAGATGGAGCAGCAGGTCGGGGAGGATGTGGAGCTGAAGTCCACTCTGCAAGAGAAGAAGGCTTTGGCTCAGCATTACAAAGTAGGTTCACTAAATGATATGTCAGTTTGTATTTCATTGAATTTTTGCAGTCAGCATGATGAAAGTTAACTTGTGATCAAATCTTAATCTTTAGCTGAAGGTTTAAATTGAAAAACTGCAAGATCCATTCAGCATGTTTCTGTATGCTTGTTGATATGATAACCTAAGATGAGACTAGTGGTGCACTCTGTGCTTTACTTTTAGGATGGGGTACATTTCTACCCATTTTATTCATTTTATCACCTCATGGTTGGCTGAATGGTTCTTTAAAATGTGTTACCAAATGGTAACTTAATTTAACTGTTTTCTCTTGTATCACAGGGTGTTTGTCAAGAAGTGATGTCTCACCAGGGTCTGCTGGAGAATGTGGGAGAGAGGGCTCAAGTGTTGGCCTCCCCCAGTGTCCACGGCAAGATGGACAAGCTCAAGTCCAGATACAGAAATCTCTGTCTGACAGCCAAGGTCAGTAATGCTCATAATGATATATTTTCCTGATATTAGGTCATAGATTTTAGATTTTCAGTAGAGAGAAATAAAAAAATCTGAAGCCTTTATTATATATTGGTTTTGTACCTTTTATTGATTTTTTAGTTCTTAAAAGATAAGGCTGTTTTTATAATAACAGTAAAAATTTGTGGAAATAAGTGTGGAGAAATTGTTTATAACCCTGGCATTAAAGTAATCTGTAGATTTAAAATTCATTTCTTGGATTTACAATTTAAATCATTCTATTTTTATAATTGATTAATATTTAGACCCTTTATCTATAATATATTATATATTCTAATATCCTATATGTATCCAATATACAGGAGCATGTAATGAAGAGTGGTCAGTTTTCTGAGGAGCACCAGCAGTTCCAGGAGGCCTACCAACAGTGTCTAGAGTGGTTGCAGGTGACCCAGGAGAAGCTGAAGGTCTGCTCAGACACTACAGGGGACAGACAGACACTGGTCAACAGGCTGGACAGACAGATGGTCAGTGTTAGGACACATGTAGATTTGGCATCTTAAGTGTTATTATCAATAGAACTATTTATATAAATGTATATACTTTGGCTGATCAATGTAAATAAAACTTCATTTCAGAAATTAAGCTTTGTTTTAACTGACATATTTAATCTTGCTTAAAATATTTGAATAAGCATGTGAATGCTAAATAAATTCAATTATTTTAAAAACTTTTCATCATGAGTAATCTCATCCACACTCTAGACCTCTAAAACTTCCATTTATGAAACACAAAGTTGAATTTTAAGACTTACCATCATTCATCCATTTGATTCAAATTTCTTTCATGATGATAATTTTGCTGTTCCCCTACAGGAAATTATGTCAACTAAACACGAAGGCCAGACCAAGCTTAATGTCGCCAGGAGCCTAGCAGAAAAAGTGATACCCCACACTGCCCCAGAGGGTCAAGCGGTCATCCAGGCCGAACTCCAGACCTTGCAGGATACCTGGGATCAGACCAACAGCAAGGCAGCAGATATTAAAGCCAACCTTCAAACTGCTATTCATTCCTGGGAAGACTATGAGCATGTCTTCAACAGCCTGAGTAAGTGGGTCAGAGAAACAGAGCTGAAGTTGAAGGATAACGACCTCAAGGCCACATTACCTGACAAGACAGTCTACCTTGAAAACTTGAAGGTAGTGTATAATTATCAACATATTTTACAGACGATCTTGGTTTAAATTTTAAGAAGCTTAAAAAAGATAATTGCTGGATTTTACAAGGTGGGAAAATAGCAGAAAATTAAGAATGTGTAGTACTTAAAGGTTACTTTGTTAAATCTTGATGTTTTTTTATAGCCACTATGTTACCTGATATGAAAGTGAATAATTTGTGTATTTTCATTTGCATATGTAGGCTTTGAACAAAGAAGTTTCAGACAAGCAGACGTCAATTGACAACTTGGGTCACAAAGCCCAGAAACTGGCCAGCAGTGACCCCAAAGTGTCCAGTGTGACCACACAGCTGACCACCAGGTACCAGGCACTCAAGAGCCATGTTAAGGTAGGTTACAGAATCACCACCATGTGTTTAAGCTTCTAGTTAAACACACATATTTATATACAAAGCTGAGTTTGATAAGAATTCAAAGTAAGAAGCAAAGTTTGGATCAGAATGTGACTTTCTCTTCTTCCATCATATTAAAAAATCTGGAAATATATGTTTTTAATTTAGAATGATCATGAAGGGCTTTATATAGATGAGATTAAAGATTTAATCATATATTTACTTAACTTACTCCAGGACTTGGTAGTGCAGTGGGAGGACCATGTAAGAGAGCACCAACAGTACTCTGAGAAATTCTCCTCCTGTACCCAGTGGATGGGAGAGCTGAGGCGGGGACTGGAGAAGTGTGCAGACTTCAGTGGGGACAAAGCAGCCATTGAAGGACGCCTTGCTGCTGTACAGGTACAGTGCATACTTCATAGTCAGTGTCTGATGAAAGAATGCACTTTAGGTCATAAAAAGAATAAGGTTAATTTTTTTCTTAAAATTTCTTCCTGTTACTTAATAACAGTGGTGGTGGCAGCTTGTTGTGGTATTAATATTTACTTAAAACTGCATTCTACACTACATTTTTAATATAGAAAATACAAGAGTAGTAAACATTATTAAAAAATCTATTTCAATTTGTCAAAGGTCTTATCTAGCATTTAGTTTAGGACCTCCCAGTCACTGGTCATTTACACAATCTTTAACTAAAATATATTTTGCTGTCATTGTCATATTAAGATTAATGCACATTCTTATTCCAGGAGCTGATGTTGGAAAAGGATCAGAGTTCTAACATCCTCCACCAGACTCTAGAGAGTGGAGAGAGGTTACAGCTGTCCACTGCCCCTGTTGGTAGGGAGGTGGTCAGGCAGGAGCTAAGGTGAGGATTTGACCAATCCATTAGCTGTATACATAGAAAGATTGGACCAATTAAGCGTCAGTTTACATAGGTAATACAGAGCTGGAATCCAGAAATATCATTATTCAAAATCTGTAGATATAAGAGGTTTTCATATTAAAAAGGAGATTTTTGTAAAAATTTCATCTTGTATGATTAAGCAAATAAGAATACAGTTTGTGTGTTTTCTTTCTAGAACTCTGAGAGATGGCTGGGACACATTGAGTGACAAACTGTCAGAAACCCAGCATCAGCTAGAAACCAGTCTTGGTCAGTGGTTCTCCTTCATTGAGAATTATGAAGATACTCAAAAATGGCTGACTGAGACTGAAAATAAAGTGAGGAAAGAGAATGAGCTGAAGGCTACACTCCAAGAGAAGAAGGTTCAAGTGCAAAATCAAAAGGTAAATGAAATATCTGCTGTTCCATGTGTTCAGTTCATGCAGATATCTGAAGATGTTAGTATGTTAGCATTGTAATTCATTCATTCATTCTCTCTTTCTCTCTCTCTCTCTCACACACACACACACACACACACACACACACACACACACACACACACACACACACACACACACACACACACACACACACACACACACACAGTTTTCAGATATCTCTTGTGAATGCAATTCATTATTCCTCACATACATATTCTATGATTTGAAACTGCACCCTGAGCAAATATAACATGCCTAAGCCAACACTGAGTCATATTTCTTTGCCAATCTCTTTTAGATCTTGCAACAAGACATCGAATCTCACCGCCGTCTGCTGGACAATCTGGAAGACAAGGCCTACCGTCTCAGTCAGTCAGGACACCAGCTGACCCACCAGGTGCCAGAACTGAAATCTCAGTACCAGAAACTGATGCAGCATTGTACCGAAAACCTTCACAAGTTTGAGCAACATCTGAGGGACCACCAGGTGTATAGTGACTCGTTCCAAGAGCTCCAGTCCTGGCTGAATTCAATGGAGGACAAGCTGGCAAGGTGCTCTGATCTCAGTGGGGATAAGCATGCCATCAGGAGTAAACTGGACAAGATGGAGGTATGTGATTTTAGATTTAAAAAAGACTTGTGTTATCTGATGAAAGTTATACTGTGGAGAAGATGAAGCTATTCACATGTCTGGGACAGTGTCAATGTGGGCTTTGTCGAGTTACTGAAAAAATCAATGGCTCTAAAATTATGTGTAGCAATTTAAAAGTTTGGACTATGTTTAAGACTTGTATAAGTTTCTTAATAAATATAGCTGTTTATTTCTATTTTTTTCGATAGTTGTATACGGTATAGTTGTACATGCACTTTAGATGAAAACTTGTGCTTTCTAGGACTTGAATCGCCACAGATCTGAAGGAGAGATTAAGCTTGTGGATACTCGCCAATATGCAGAAAAGACACTGACCAATACCTCTTCCACTGGTAAAGAGAAGATCCGCTGTGACCTGGATACTTTGAGTGCTGACTGGGCCACGTATACCTCTCAGTTAACACGAACTCAGGGAGAATTAGAGAGTATTGTGCTCCAGTGGGAAGAACATGAGGATGCTCTCAAGGACATAATGCATTGGTTGAAGGAGAAGGAGGGTCAGGTCAAACAACAGGAACTCAAAGCCACCCTGGTGGAAAAAGAGACCCATTTGAAAGAACTGCAGGTCAGTAGAGTTAATAGAGATTACAGTTACTCTCTCTCTCTCTCTCTCTCTCTCTCTCTCTCTCTCTCTCTCTCTCTCTCTCTCTCTCTCTCTCAGTTATTTCTTTCTGTGGGTTGATGATAAAAGCTTTTTTGAGACCTCCAGTGATTCCTTAAAGTATATATACCAATGTACACTTCCTTTCTTTCTTCTTCACTATATATATTTAATCTGATTTTCAGGTTCTCAGTCGTGATGTTGATGGGTTTCAGTCAGAGATTCAAGAATTTGGTGACAACTGCCAGTCACTGATGCAAGTCAGCAGTGATGGCAGAATACACACTAACATTACTCAGGTTACCACCAGATATAACAATCTGGGCTCTACTATCAGAGTAAGTAGATTCAGATTTTTGAATGAATTTTCTTTGTTTTTCTTTTCAAACATATTCATTTGATTGATAGGACACAGTGTACTTATCAAGAAATTATTAGTGGTTCCATTTATAATGTGTTTATCACCTTTGCAGGGAAATTATCTAAAATCTAATGACAGAGCCCCCCTGCAAAAAAATGAATAACGTCATTTTGATTGTAATAACATTGACTTTAAAACCACATTTTTACCTCCAAATATTGCTCCGAATTCAGGGTCTTATCGAGAAGTGGGATCATATGGTATCGGATCACCAGGATTACGAGGGCAAGCTACTTGACTTTGTTGACTGGGTGAATGCTGCTAAAGACAGAATGAACAGCAATGTGGATACATCTGGAGACAAAGAGGAATTGGAAGAGAGGAAGGCTATACTTCAGGTAAACTTCCAAGTAAAATGAGTTCTTTGTGTTGTACATTTGAAATAAGTGATATTCTCTCAGTTTGGATGTTGAAGTGCACTTTTCATAGACCAAAGATTTGCATTGATATATTTTTCAAATTAATATTTTAGTTTTTAGAATAGGCACATTTATTTTTTTGCAGAAAGCAATGGTTATCTTATAGTATTTAAGGTAATTTATGACTTTTAATTGATTTATTTCAAGGAAATAACGGCTGAGAGAGAAGAAGGTCTCATGAAGTTGAATGCCCTCAGTGAGTCTGCAGACAAGCTGTACAAAGACACCGCTGCTGCAGGACGCGAGAAAATACGACAGCAGGTTCGAGATGCCAAAGAGGACTGGGACCATCTCTTCACAGCCATTAGTGATGCTCAGCATAAGTTTGAGACTGTCTTGATGCAGTGGTCTTCCTTCAGCGAGAGTCGGCAGCAGATACAGAAGTGGCTTGTTGAAGCCGAGATGGCTGTTGCCATAGATACTGAAGTGAAGAACACACTGCATGAAAAGAGAGGACAGCTGCAGCATCATAAGGTGAGATAAAGAAACTGTGAAATCAAAAAAGAAAAAAAAAACTTAAAATGAAAAAAAAAACAAATGTAATTAAATGGAGACAGTTCACATGATGAGGGTTTTCATTTCAGTACAAAGTGGATTTAATTTATGAATCTGTAACATTAATATTAACTTATTTACCCATTTAATGCTGCAGTTTACACTGTGTTATTTAATTTTAGACTCTTCAGCAAGATGTCAGTGCCCACCAGCGTGTGATAGAGACTGTGGTTCAGAAGGCCCATGTTGTGGTCCACAGCAGTGGTAACCCTGAGGTGGAGAGGTTCATCACAGACACACAGGACAGGTACCAGACCCTGGTCACCAGAGTCAAGGTGAGATTTAACTAAAAAACTGAATTACCAAGGTTACATGGTCACATGGGCACATCTTACCCTATCAGGAGCAGTGTACCAACACTCTCATGGAGATCCTTGTCAACTAAGCCAAGAAACTGACTATTTTTTTTTTTTGTGAAACTGGGGCCTGATGTATATTTATTTATCAGGGATGAAATTTTCTCAGCTGTTGGCAGATTTTTTACTTTTTAGAAGTCAATAATATCATTGGCGTAGGCAGTCCTCTGGACCCCACATCATATTTTCACTTTTTCATCAAATGTCATCCCTGACATACACAGATTCTGTATGTGTATATGTACAAATTCTGTCCATGTCTGTATTTTTTCTGATTATAAAGTAGTCACCATTGCTTTTGTTTTTTTTAATGGTAAATATTGTTGCAGTCTTTTTTTTTTGTTGTTGTTGTTGTTTTTTTTTTGTCTTTGCTGGGTTATTGTCTATTTTAATGATAACTGATTCATCAGTAATCAGCACTGAGTAGAAACTTTTTTATGGTGAAATGTTTTTTATTTTCTTATTTAAAATGTTTCTTTAATTCTGTCTTATGTAAAATGGCAAAAAATTGGTTATTAGGTCAAGACCTTTTAATAAAGGGTTGAAACATGCAAATTAACCAAACACTTATTTGATGTTTTTTATCAGATTTAAATAATAACTTTTTTATTGACACAGATTGTAATCTAGCTGATTTATTTGACTTTTTCCATATAATTTACTGTTAAATTGATAAGAGCTGCACTGTATTTATGTAATAGGATACATAGAATATGAATTTATAGGTTAAGATATAGAGTAAAACACATCATTAATAGTGTAAGAAAACACTGGGTGTTGACAGTGCCCTCTGTTGCTAAGATACGGAGTATCATGCGTTTCCAAAGTTTAAACAAGTAAAGATAAAGGAATACCCCCTTGTAGCTAAACATTTAGGTCACATTCCATTGGTGCTGCAGTTTTAAAATTGATTTTTAAAAGATGAGTGTATCAGCGCCTTTTACAATGTCGAGGATTCTGTTATCACTCTCTGCAAATACGCCCAATAAGGTGTACATTTCATTCATAATTTCATTGATTTAAATGGCAACAACAGAGCTATGTTTCTCCTAGCCGGAGTAATGGGATCTTTTTTGCAGACCCAGTTGCAGAAAGCACAGCAGACGGTAGATGATCACCAGCAGTTTGAGGATGCTCACCAGGCAGCATGTGACAGCTTGAGTCTGATGAAGGACAGGCTTGCCATGTGTGCAGACGTCATTGGGGATAAACACACGCTTCAGAGCAAACTGGACAGACTGCAGGTAATTGCACAAGATAATTTGTAGCTTAAATGAATGAATTTTTTGTACTATATAGCTTGCAATTTTATTTTTGTTGTGATCAAATTTTACAAATATCACTCACTGCTTATATATTTGATATAGAATGGTTATGCATGATGTTTATCTTGTAAAATCTCATTTTTCCATTGTACCACTATTTTATTTATATATTTATTATGTTTGTGTAAAAATTTTTTTGATATGAATAAGCATATTTCTTTAGCATATCCCATATTGATAAAAATTACAATTTACATAATATCCACCTATTCCATAAGCTTTCCTCTTTTCAAAGGCTTTTCTTATAACGAAAATGAATAAAAATTGCAGGACTTGACTGCCTCAATGTCTGAGTGTGAAGCCAAACTTCAGGCCTGTAGGACCAGTGCTGACAAGACAATGGCCAGTTCTGGCCACGCTGGACAACAGGAGGTTCAGCAACAGATAGACGCTCTCAAGCTGGACTGGGAAAAGCTTATTAATAGCACCATGGATGCCAAGGTAAGTAGTTGACCTTTTGTGTATGTGTGTGCGTCCTTGTGTCCTGGGTGTTTTGGTGTGGTCACTTGAAATTAAAGCAACGGTCAGCAAATTCTGCAAAACAGTGATTCTTATAATAATGATGATGATGTTGACGACAGTAGTGAAGTAATGAAGAATAAAAATGAGGTAAATGAAATGGCAGTGATATTTGTGGTGAAGTAATTCAGATGATCTGATGGTGATGGGTGATGACAACATGTACTTTTGACCAAATCTAATCGTGATATTTTCAGATCCACCTGGAGGATGCTGTTCAAATGTGGGTGCGTTATGAAGAACAGTATGACCACCTCTCTCACTGGCTCAAGGATATGGAGAGGAAATTGAAGGAGTTTGGTCCACAGTCTACACTGGAGGAAAAGAAACAACAGCTGCAGAAATATCAAGTAAGCTATTTGTACTGTTTTTGAGATTCTATGATAATCTTTTGAAGACAAGTTCTGCATCTTTTATCACAAGAAAAGAGTGGATAATATAATTTGTGTACTTACATTAAGCAGTTAATGTTATTTTAGTGATATCACTGTATGGTAAATTGCAAATTAATTTGCTGCTTTTATTCTATCATGGTGACTTGTAGGATATGGTAGGCAGTTTGGAATTAGCTGGTATTTTTTCAATTCAGTTTTTGCCATTTTTGGACCCCTTTTGTTTACTTATTGTTTTTTTTTCTTGTGACATGTTTGTTTTTTATCAAAGAATTCCTTTACACATTATGTCAGTTGTCGGACCTTTTGAGGAATATCATTTCAAAACACATTCATAAAACCCCTTTTTATTTTAAAACACTTCCCTAAGCCCGAGTGTATAAGCAGTTCTGTTTGATCAAGATTTTATTTGGCTTTGCATTTTATTTTCATATTTTCCATTTCATTTTGAGTTTTGAGGGTTGCAGTGTATGTGTGTGTGTGTGCATTCTTGTATTTGCTATGACTTCTGCCTCTTTGTTTGCCGCGTCAAGGTGTATTATCAGAAACGGCAGGAGGATGACTCCATGGTTTTAGAGGATATGGGAAGTGAAGGGGAACATGTAAGAGCTATAGCACTGTGTAGAGCAGAATAGAATACCCTTCATTATGGAATACATGCTGTTTATGTATACCCTGTGCTTATTTATACTAGAAAGTCTTGCTTTTCCTTTAAGTGGTGTACACATTTTACAAGTTTAGAAATCTTGCTTTCAGTGTTTAACCAAGTAGTTGGGATAGGTGTGAACCTTACCAGGAAGTTCATTATTTGTGCACGTGAAAGAATATGCTTCGTATTATATGCTGTAAATTGTTTATAGTACCCACAATAGCTTGTGTGTTGTAATGCAAATGTGCTTTTTGTTTTTTAACACACGAACAAATTATTTTTCATTGGTGCAGGGGCTGCTTAAGTTCATGTACAATTTTTTAGCAAATGTAATCAACCACCCTTCAAATTCTTTTGTACCCAGAGTCTATCCCCTTACCCACTATCCCCTTGATAGCAGATCATGTTATATTATAAAAATGCAGATTATGTTATATTATAAAAATGCTTTATTTTCTAGCAGATTATTTACAACCGTACAAGTGTTTTATGTACACCCCCAATATGTTAAATATGCACTCTGAAAATATTGGGATTTCAATGTTTAAATTGCCCAAGTATCAAAATTTGATCCTGAAAGAACTTTTAAATGACTTGGGAATGTCTTGGCTTGGAAATGCAGAGAATGGGATGGCTTTGTGTTGTATGTGCCAGCTTATATGGGAGCATGGCTTGCTTTGTAATTTTGAAATTGATGAATTGTAAACTAAGATTAATGATGAAACAGATTTTGGAGATACTTTTAAGATTTTTTTCACTACGCTGGAATGAAGGTTAATTTTTTAAAAGTGTAGGATGCAGTCTATCATTTTGACAGTCAGTCATTATACTCAATTCAGCTGGATGATATTAAGGTGTCAAGGTAAATGTACTTTTCATAAAGTGAGCCTGTATTTTTAATTTCTGTAAGACATAACTTACAAATTGAATACTCCTAGGTCCACCAACAGACTATAAAAGCCCACCAGGCTGAGATTGACGAGTTTGCTGACCATGCTCAAACTTTAGCGCAAACCACTTCTGAGACCAGAGTGACCACTCAAGTCTCTCAACTGACCTCCAGATACCAGTCCCTACTGACCGCTGTGAAGGTAAGTGACAGTATCTCTGTCTGTGGTGAATAATTTATGAAAAAGTGACAAATAGACATTAAAGGCTTGGGCATTTATAGTGAGGATCTTTATGTTTATTTTGGTTTTTAGGATCGACTTTTTCAGGCTTTATCAAAGAAATTGCTTGCTCATTGAAATGATGCCTGCAAGGTCTGCTAACCAAATGGAATTTTCAACTCATGATAATGTAGTTTATTTTAATATCGTCATGTGTATTTAAAGAATTATAGATAATAACTTTGTCTTTAAATAAAATTGTGCTTCGATCAAAAATATCTGTGCAGCAGATGTACAACAATGTTGCTTTCCATTATCGTAGGAGATCGTGAAAAAATGCGAACAGAACGTGTTGGACCACCAGGTGTTTAATGAGAAGTGCGAGGAGTACCGAACATGGCTGAAAGCTGCCAAGAACAAACTGGAGCTGTGCTCTGATGTCTCTGGGACCAGGAAACAGATAGAAGAAAAGGAAGCCAATATCCAGGTAAACAAAAAATAATCTGGCTGTTGAACATCCCTGAAATAACATTAATATTGTACATCTCTCTATAATTTGATACTACCTGTTTAGTCTCAGTAGTTCAAATATTGTAACGAGCTGGTTATGGTTGGGGCGGTAATTTTGGTTGCTGATTCCAACCTCCACATATTCCGCTTTTTCACTTGTTTGCCCCCCATGGTCATAAGATTGTTTCAAGATTCATTAGACCCAAAAAGATAAAGCATAAATTGTAAAGCCAGCTGATCTGTTTAGAAAGGATAACAACCTTTACTTTTTACCTTTTATACATTCTCATTACATAGATGTTATGTATTTTATGCTTTGATTAAAAGCAGTGTACCTCGCAGTTAATATGTATTTTAAAATATTAGAATATCTGAAAGTATTTGGTATTGTCTATGTGTATTTTATCATTCTTCATACGAATATTGTATTCCCTACAGGAGCTTCAAGTTGAAAAAGAAACTGGCTTCAGCAAACTAAACCATGCCATCGAGGCAGGAGAGAAGCTATATCCAAACACTGCTACTGACGGGAAAGAATCCATCCGCCATGACATTCGTAACATGAAATCTGGATTTGAGAAACTTTTCGACGAGGTAGTGACCACGCAGAGAAGACTTGATGGTAGCCGAGTCCAATGGTCATCATTTGATGATAGTGTCACCACTCTGAAGCTGTGGGTACAAGATATGGAGAATAAGGTGAAGGCAGAATTGGTGCTCAAGTCTACACTGGAGGAAAAGAAATCCCAACTTATTTCATACAAGGTATGTATGTAAGATTTTGTAGACCAGGTGATGGTAATTCATTTTCCTTATTAAATTTTTCTTTGAGGGGATATAATTATAAATAATTGCATATTGCACTTTTTAAGTTATATAGGCCAGAAAAAATAACATATTTAGACATATAATTACATGAGAAGTATTCTGAACATCTAGTTTTAACTATATATGGGGTTCATCCTCTTTGAAGTATTTGGATTTTATTTGTACCACCAGCGTGTACACTGGTGGTACTCATGGTTTTAGTCCCGGCCCGTTTCATTTGACTTGACCATGCTATTTGTCACCAGAGCTTGCAGCAGGACATCCAGGCGTATCAGCGTGTGGTGGACAGTGTCCGAGATAAGGCCCAGTCTCTAAGTGACAGCACCAGTGACCCCCATATTACACAGCACATGGCACAGCTCACTGCAAGATATCAAGAGCTATGTGTGGCAGCCAAGGTAATGGATTCCTAGAAATACACAATTATAATCCCCACTTTAACAGTCAGACTGGATTGAAAGTTCTGAATGGATAAAAATACAGCTGGAACTTTTCCTATCATATATGGGAATAAATAGTATTGAAATATGAAATGTTAACTTTATAAATCAAAACCCTGTAAAGGTTCCAGCACAACAAAATTTTTAAAAGAGGAGGAGAGGATAAAAGTCACGGCAATGTACCTGTGCCAAACAGAGTCAGTTACAAGGTAATGTGTCTGTAAAAGAATTTCCAATGAAGGAATTTTTACTTTTACAATTGCAGGAACTTGTCCACAAGTATGAGACGATAGTTTCTGATCACCAGCAGTACTACGACTCGTCCTCCAGTTGTCTGGACTGGCTGGAGGCTATGAAAGAGAGGCTAGCTCTGTGTGATGATGTCACAGGGGACAAACATGCCGTACAGAGTCGACTGGATAGACTACAGGTAAAAGATCAGATATTATGTTGATTTTTAAATGTATTTTATGTGTATGGTGTTTTATATGTATTGGATTGTTTTAAAATGGAAAAACTGTAGAAGTATATATTCACAGTTTTTCTTTCTAATATATGTTGTCCAAATTTAAAATGGTCATTAATGCTCACAAACTAGACATTTCAGTTGATAGTTTTGTTAACATGATAGGTATTTCTCCATCAAGTAGTGCGATACTTTGTAGTTGTTTACATAGTTTCTGTAGATTTTAAGTTAGTCATATCGTAACTAAATCTTATATGTTTTTCTCTACTATTTTACATAATTTTGTGCAAACTTTTACTCTTGCATGTGTAGAATAGATAAAGTTTCTTATCTTTTAACTTAATCCATCTTTCAGAAAAAATATAAATATGTAAGATAGGATATTGAGTACATTATTTCATTTTACTTATCCTCCTTATTTATTAAGCAGCATGAACAATTGCATGTATGTATTTTTTAACTTCTTCAGTGCTTTTAGTATCTTTCATTTTTATTTTACAATAGAACCTAGGATAATGCATTAGACAACATGGAGCTAACACATTTTTCTCTTTTGTTCTTTTATTTCTTTGTTTGTTATGTTGGTTAAACAGCGGCGTTTTGTAAGTTTCTCAGTTTGGAAGTTTGACTTGTATTGGCTTGGATGGTTATGGCTTATTTACTGTAAGGTGCATGTGCTAATTCTGATGATTTCAAGTTCTATCTAAACATATAATCATGAATTTAGCAGTTTTATAAGGTTTTATTTGAAAAGAAAGCAAATTTTTTTTGACAAAATTTTGACTAATTTTGTAAGTTTGCTTTCCTAATTTAAATTGTTCTTTTTTGGCATGACTCCTTTGTAGATTACATTTTTTTAGAATATAGGTTTCTGAAAGTCAGTCAGTAAGGAAAAAAGATCCCCACCCATCCACCCCTGCTGGCTTATTCCCTAGATAAAATTTTTATGTGTAGCATTATGGTCCCCCTTAAAAACATATTATAGTCAGAATTAGCACATAATTGATAAATTCGAGATTATGTTGGATTTGTTCAGATGGTATGACTTTATTTTTGCTACATGATTCCATTATAAAACATAGCATTGCAGTGATAACTGGTTAAGTTGTATTGCTGTTTGAGTCTTGCTAGACTAAATGTATGGAATGGTAACATTGACTTGGATGCTGTGCTATTTAAAGTTGGAGTGATTCAGCATGCCTGGTCATTTGGCATGAAGTGATTGACCATAAAAGATAATGTGGAATAGCCATGTTGAATGCCAGAATGATCAACCGTTTGAAACATTTGAAATTAATTTTTTTGTGATAATTTTACCAATAAAAATGGTTATTATAACAGAGAGTGGAATTGGGAAAATCTACAATTTTGAATTCACCATAGCGTATATATGGAAAGGTAACCAGTTTTGGCAATTTTCTAAAATGGGTAAAATAACATTACAAAGGCAAATATATTTGCTTCCTTTCTTATTATATCAATTAAAATGTTTTTTGAAATCAAGTCATTGGTTCAGTTTTTGATTTCATCTTGAATGACTTTCTCCAGGACATCTTGGTGCTAAAGATGGAGGGAGACCCCAAACTGGCTGGAGTCCAGTCTGATGCTGAGAGGGTCATCCCGTTCACTGTCACTCATGGTCAAGAAGCTATAAAGAGAGACACAGAGGAGCTGAAGACCGACTATGACAACTTTGTAACCAAACTAGAGCAGGTAAGAATAAAGTGCTTCTTCAGAGATTGTTTCCATTGCTTTGGTTACTTTGATAACTACAGTTAGGCATTTGTGTTTTCTGTTCTAACAAGCATAAAAGTCTCATTCTTTACATTACTGAAAATAGCAGGATTTCATAGCCATTGATGTGTTTAATATAGTTAAGAATAATCATGCTTTTTTTGCAGATTAGGGTGTATTTAGTACACAGAATCAAAGTAAACTTTTTTACGCTTGTCCTGTTGACTGTGTGTGCATGCACGCGCACATGTGTAGCATGTATGGCAAGTACATATTACAAACTATAGTGTAATGTATAACACTGTCTTCCATTCTAGACAAAGACAGACCTTGAGGACTGCTTGCGCCATTGGCAGACATTTGAGGACAAGTATGACACCTGCTCTAACTGGGTCAAGGAGATGGAGATGAAACTGAAGACAGTAGAACTGGTGGGAACACAGAGAGAAAAGTCAGCTCAACTGGAGAAACTGAAGGTATGCTGCAGTGTCTTCAAAATAATGATGTATGGGAGATATGTATTGTATGTGTAGAAAATTTAAATTTGATTTTAGTAGGAAAAAATATAAACAGTGCAAATTCTCTCTCTCTCTCTCTCTCTCTCCTGTATGTCCCTTAGATTCTTTACTCATCTCAGTCTTAATATTAAGTCGGGCCTTAATCAGATGCAGTTAGTAATCAGTTATCATTATTTTCATTCTTACCCCCTTATTCTCTGTTCTCTCTCCCCAGGGCTGGCAGGAAGAGGTGTCCCTGTACCAGTTACAGATAGACAACTGTTGTGACTGTGCCAGTACACTGAGCAGACTGAGCACAGACTCTAGGGTCAGCACTCAGGCCTCCCAACTCAACCACAAGTATCAGGCTCTCATTATCACTGTCAGGGTAAGACACAGTTAGATTTGAGGTTTTCTTTTTAAAAAAAATGATAATAAAAATAAAAAATGAGTACTCTGGGAGTCATAGGCCTTTTGCAGCTAGACAGTAAACAGAAGAATGTTGGAGAGCAAGCTCTTCAGTAAACAAAAGAAGTCAGCATCTAGTCATCTAGCTGCAAAAGGGCTATTGTTGATGCTGAAAATCTTACCTTAAAGACCACTACAATAACAAGCTGCATGTGACCAGTGCGTGTTTGTGAAGATGGAAAATTCCAGAGACAGGTTTTTGTTTTACTGAGACTTAAAATATCTATCACATAGGTATGAATTCCACACAATGTGTCTGTGTCATCATTTTGTATGTTTTCTAATACAGGAGACTGTACGTCGCTGGGAGCAGTTTGTCATTGACTGCCAGCAGTATCAAGACGCCAGGGAGAACTGCCTGAAGTGGCAGGCTGTTATCAGAGAGAAGCTGGCCAAGTGCAGTATTGGTGCTGGGGACAAGAAAGCCCTTCAAGAGAGACTGGAACAATTGAAGGTGAAAGGGGAAGCTTTTAATAATTTGCGACACTGGTCCTAGTAAACCTAAATGAAATCTAAGTGTGATGTCTAATGAAGCTTGTACCAGTACTGCTCTGGATGGATTAGATGTCAAGATGGATTAGATGTCAAGAACTGTGTAGATATATTTCAAAAAAGAATAATTTTCTAAAAACATTTAATGAATTTTTTGTCCTCAGGAGTTGGCAAGCAACAGAGACCAAGGGTTCAGAAAAATTCAAGCTGTGACAGATGCTCTACAGCTCGTCTTGCCAAACACGTCACCTATAGGACGGGACAACTTGCGTAGAGAGCAACAATCACTGCAGGAAGACTGGGACAGTTTGGGAGCCAGTGTGAATGATGCCAAGACCAAACTGGAGAGCTGTATGACACAGTGGTCGGTGTATGATGACAGCACTGGTCAGTTACTCAAGTGGCTGACTGAAATGGAGACTTCTTTGAAGACCGAGTCTGACCCATGCAGCACTTTACCAGAGAAGAGGGCACAGTTAGAGAGATTAAAGGTAGAGTAGTGTTTTAGTTAATAAATTTGTTATTGGCACAATCCTTCAATTTATTAATTTGATTTAAAATTAAGTAGTAATAGATAATTATGAATTATGAACTTTGAAAATTGGGATTTTTGAGATTACTTGTGATAAATATGTAACCATATGTCAGTGAAAACATTAAAACATTCCCCTTTAGACATTAAGTATTCTTTCCTGTTCAAAAATGATAGGAAAGTTGTAAATTGCTTTTAGAAAGACTAAACATGTTTTTTACCTATGAGACATGACATATTGATCCTCTATCAAAGGGTCTTGAAAACGAAGACCTGCAAATTTAGTCTCTTTTGAAATGTTTCACTGCCTTTAGGTGGGAACTTTTATTACTATCACTAGACAAAATTGAAAAACTTATTTCACTGACAAATAATGTTGTAATTTATTATTTCTTTCTTTGTCTAAATACTGCCACTATGTTTAATTCAGTGTATGTTTCCAATACTAAATTTAATGTCCAATTACAGGCAGTACAATTGACTATCAACAGCCAGAACAGTGCTATTGACAGCCTCAACTCCAAAGCCCAAGCACTGAGAGAGGATGCCAGTGATGATCAGCTGACATCCAAAGTCACAGAGATTGTCTCAAGATACGAGGCATTAGCAACCAGTGCAAAGGTGTGTATAGTGGAGCCTGTTTTATTAAAGACCTTAAGCCCAAAAATTGGTTTTAACTTTTAAGACCAACATTTTAGTCTACATTGACCTGAGATAAAACAGTAGTATTCCAACCTATTGAAATATCGTGTCTGTTTTACAATGTTTTAGACCAGTAGGTACATTATTTAAGTGGACTGCTATGGATTTTTCTACAACTGAATCTTAGTCCAACTTTTGGACTATAGCTCATTTGTGAAGCCAGTCCCTGTCTTTAAATGACAAATAGTATAAGTGAAAATAATTCTAGTCTTACAGATATCTAAATAATTTTAGTAATTGAGTTGTATTTAATTTTTTCATAGGAGCAAGTAAAGAAATGTGAGAGGTCAGTTCTCGACCATCAGAACTATAAAGATGCACACACAGAAGCTGTGAACTGGTTGAACCACATCAAGGACAAGCTAGCCATCTGCAGCGGGGTTCACACGGACAGAACAGGGGTAGAATCCAGTGCACACAAGCTGCAAGAGATTATGGACTCGAGGGAAGCTGGTGCAGAGAAAGTCCACATTGCTTCCCAGAAAGCTGAGACTGCGTCAGCCACTACATCTTCAAAAGGGCAGCAGGTTATCCAGAAAGAGCTCAGTGCACTGCAGGAAGATGTGGAGGCCACTTTCTCTTCTGCGCAGGAAATGCAATTAAATCTAGGTATGCATTTATTGTAGATGTCTAATATTAATTGCTTACATTACTGCATCTATAAAACTTACATATATGAAGTAGATTGATATGATATTTCATTATTTAAAATCTCCAAAGAAAAACTAACAGAAGAAAATTTCTGATTTTCTTATCAATCCCTCACCCATTAACAGTGATCAGATGTTATTAAGAAAACATAAGTTTAAATTAAATTGACAGCATTTCTTTAGTATTGAAATTCATAATCTACATGTTTTTCCTTGGCATTTTCAGAGGAGTTGTGTATCAGGTGGAGTGACTACATAGACCAGTATGAGCAACTTAATGAGTGGGTGAAGGAGCAAGATATCAAACTGAAGGCAGACACTGACTTTAAGGCTAATTTAGAGGAGAAAACGATACAGTTAGAAAAACAAAAGGTATTTTACTTGGATGTTCATTTGAGGATGTTTCATGTAGTGAGTGAACATGTATTATCATAATTTTGATAAAGAAGGAAATCTTTTCTAAACGGACTATGAACATGTTTTCTACCTATGAGACATGGTTTTTTATCATCATTATCCAGGAGAATGGAAGTCTTTTTTCACCATATAATTACTTTTTATCTTTCAAGACTTTATAGTAGAATTACAGACAAAAACTGCTTAAATTAGGAAAACATTGGACTTTTTCACCTCTACAGCACATTAAATGATATAATTGTCATTTCAGTCAAAATATGAGGACATAGTGAAACATCAGCCTGTCTTTGATGCCCTGAGTGAGAAGGCACAGAGTATAATGCAGTCAACTACAGATACCAGGATCAGCACTCAACTCATGCAACTTAATTCTAGATATGCCACACTCACAGCACTGTCAAAGGTAAATATGTGTATTATTTGACAAATGCACCTAGAAAAAGAAAAATGCCCCTAAATTTCCAACTTTTAGTGAGCCAAAAATATAATTTTTGTAATCAATGCAAATAGCCCATGGACTCCACACACAATATTCTCAGACTTTTTCACTAAATGGCAATCTCGTCCCTGGATTCCATTAATTAGACCCATTGATCTGTTGTAGGATATGATAAAGAAGTATGAGCAGCAGGTTCAGGTACATGTTCAGTACCAGCAGTGCCGTGCTGAGTTCACCACCTGGCTGGAATCTGTGGCCGAGAACCTGGACACGTGTGCTGACACTTCTGGAGACAAGGACACCATTCAGTCACAGATTGATAAACTACAGGTAAATGTTGTGTTGGCTGTGTCTTTACATTTAGTTTTACATTTAGTTTCATTGGTTTTTAACTCAAGTTGGGTTTTCAAGGACTTTCTTACGTAGGAGAATAGGTGAAGCTGAGGATCCCCTTCATGTTATGTTGCTGGAATTGATCATTGTTAATTTGCAATTATATATTAATAGCCTTCCTTCTTTTATTTCATATAAGATTGTACATATTTTTTGAAAAAAAATTGGAAAAGGGTACAAACTTGCAGTTTTCTAAAGACAAATGAATGTTTATGTGTATCCCATTTTTATAAATATTTTAACAGGAGTTTGCAGTTGTGAAAGAAGAAGGCCACTCACTGCTCCACACAGCCAACACCTGGGGGGACAAGGTACTGACCACAACCTCTGTGGATGGAAGAGNAAGGAGGATAGGTGAAGCTGAGGATCCCCTTCATGTTATGTTGCTGGAATTGATCATTGTTAATTTGCAATTATATATTAATAGCCTTCCTTCTTTTATTTCATATAAGATTGTACATATTTTTTGAAAAAAAATTGGAAAAGGGTACAAACTTGCAGTTTTCTAAAGACAAATGAATGTTTATGTGTATCCCATTTTTATAAATATTTTAACAGGAGTTTGCAGTTGTGAAAGAAGAAGGCCACTCACTGCTCCACACAGCCAACACCTGGGGGGACAAGGTACTGACCACAACTTCTGTGGATGGAAGAGAAAATATCCGGCGAGAGCTAGGGGCTCTACAGAGAGACTGGGATGCTTTTGTGGCCCGCATCAGTGACACAAAAGTGACACTGGAGTCTTGTCTCCTTCAGTGGAGTGACTATGATGACAGCTTGGGACAGATAGAAAAATGGCTGTCAGATAATGAAGTCAAGGTCAAGGATGTGGCCCTGAACTCTGACATTGGTGAAAAGAAGACACATCATCAAAAGATAAAGGTATTTAAAAATATATATATATAGCTCATGTATCTATGTAACTATTCCCCCCCTTCCCCCCAAAAAAACAAAGGTTTCAATTAAAAGGAAACAAATGCTTCGTTAAAGGACTGTTTGTTAGTTTTTAGTATTTACAGTACAAATTTTTTTTTGTTCTTTCCAGAATTTGACCCAGGACATTATAGCCTATGAGCAGATGGTGGACTCTGTGAGTTCCAAGGCTCAGGAGCTGGGGCAAAAGAGCCCCCGCAGCAAGGTGACATCTCGGGCAACGCAGATCATGACCAGATACGAAGCCCTTGTTGACACAGCAAAGGTGAGAAATTCATTCAAGAAGAAGAATTGAATTTCAGCTAAACTTTACAAAAAATCTGATTAATCCCATAATTATAGACTCAGTTCATCCAAGTGTTTAAATCAGTTTGATTAAAAAATATTCTTTTTTTTTTAACCAGTGTGATCTATTTCTTTTCTTATTTTATCTGTATTTATTTTGTAGAATGCAGTGAAGAGAGCTCAGGAGGTGGTGGATGACCACCAGACCTATCACGAGGCTTGTTCTGCATTTGCCTCATGGTTACGGACTGCTCAAGAGAGATTGTCTGCATGTTCTGATGCATATGGGGAGAAGTCTCTGGTTATGATGAAGAAAGATAAGATAAAGGTATATAGAAATTTCTTTTGCTACCAGGTTTTTGTTCTTGTGTACCCATTCAAATAATTCAAAAACAAAAAAGATAGTATGTTATGATTTTTAGACTGCAAGTTATAATGTGTTATAAATATATACATAATTTGTGTGTGTGTGTGTACTTTTGAAATTAATTTTGAAGTTTATGGTAAAATACAGTTTCATTCAATATGATTCAGTCAAATAGTTATTGAATGATAGGTGATTGATATGAGTGTTTATCTCTTAAAACAGGAACTGGAGAAGAGTATAGCAGATGGCAATGACAAACTTTCCAAAGTGTCTTCTTCTGCCGATGCAGTCCTGCACAACACATCTTCTGCTGGACAAAACCGCATCCAGCAAGATCTGGCCACCATGACCCAAGAACTAGAAGACTACCGGTCAGAAGTGACCAAGGCCCAGTCTGGTATAGAGACCTGTTTGGACAGATGGGGCACTTACGAGGAGGCCCAACAGAAGTTTTTAGACTGGCTAAAGGACATGGATGTTCATTTGAGAAAAGAACTGGAGCTGAAGGCTACCATACAGGACAAGAAGGCACAATTAGATGAATACCAGGTATGGACTCTAAATAGTTTTCTACAGTTTGGAAAGCAGAATAGAATTTAGACAGCACCCAATTGTGAATAGTGCTAATGAGGATTTAGGTGTTCTTCCATGTTAGATATTGATGAAATATGTTCAAAACATACCAGTGATTTTGTTTCAAATTTTACATAGACTTTTGCTTTTTTTTTTTGAGTTTGGTCATGCACTGTGAAACAATAAGTAACTAGCACAAGGCTTACCAAGTTACCAAAACGAAACTTTTTTGACCATAAACTCACTTTGACCCACATTTTTCCAGGCTCAGCACCAGGACCTTGTCTCCCACCAGCTGCACTTGGACGGTGTCAGCCAGAAGGCACAGGCTCTGCTGGAGACCAACCCAGATGCCAAGATCTCTCATGGTATTACTCAGCTCACCACAAGGTATCAAACAGTGCTGGCAGCATCCATGGTGAGTACAACAGAATTACACCCTGTGTTTTCGAGAAAGTGATGAGGTTACAGTTTATGTGTTGTTATATAAAGCACCTGCTTTTTATATTTTAATTTTGTGTATTTATTAATATATTACTTGTTTATTCTTTATTTTGTAACCAAATACTTGTGCATTTGTGAAGTATTTGAATGCTAATTGAACTTCTGGATATCTGTATTAATATGATATAATTTATTTATCTGTAAAATCTATATGCATTAGAACTAAATTTGCCATTAAAACTAGCAGATTTTACATTAAAATTATTTGAATAAATGCTCACTCTTGACACAATTTTACCAATTTCAGGAGGTTATCAGAAAACTAGAGTCAAACTTCACCGATCATGAGCTGTATAGAAATGCTTACCAAGATTGTGAAGACTGGATTTCTCTCACTAGAGGTCGCCTGGAGGCCACTCAAGACACCACAGGGTCAAGGCATGATATCGAAGAAAAGTTGCATAATTGCAGAGTAGGTGTCAAAGGTTTATTTTGAAAGTCCTGTAAAATGATTATTTAATGAATATATATAAATTTGCCCAAAAAATAAAGAAAGAAAATAAAAATATGAATTATTTATGTAAATTATGCAAGTAACATGTGAAGATGAAAAAGGAATGTATATACGTATATTATAATTCAGGATCTGCAAGCATCCTTGGATCAGGGCCAGAGCATGCTGAGAAGTGTTATTGACTTAGCAGAGAAAACCAAGCCTAACTCTAATGCACAAGGATGTCAAACCATAAGGGAAGATCTGGAAACTTTGAAACATAATTATGAAGGGCTGAAAACAGAAGTTATTCAGGTATCTTGCTTCTGTCCCGCAAAAATTATTTGCAGTATAGGTGGGAATACATCTGTATAATAACAAATGAAACTTTGAAACAAATTTGATAAAAAGATTAAAGCTTAAGAGCCAAACGCAAATAATTTAGGGTATTCATCATATTTTAAAGCAATTTTGAAAGTAATGATGTGTAATTTAATAATCGAGGAGAAAATTTTTTTTCAGGGTAAAGGTAAACTTGAAAAACTAGTGGCCAATTGGATAGACCTGCAGAAAGTCCATGAGCAACTCCTGATGTGGCTTAAAGACACAGAAGTGAAGGTGAAGGCTGACACTGGCTTCAGAAATGATCTTCCAGAAAAAAGGACATATCTGGAAAAATGCAAAGTAAATATATTGATTCTTGGTGTTAAATATTTTGATTTTAGATATAAGTTTGTTTTGATTTTGTAGAAAACTATATACTGGGTGTTTATCTATCAGCTGACTTGTCCTCACTCTTAAAGGAAACATGAAAGAGATGATTTTAGAGATCTGTTGAAGATCATACATTTATTTTACTTATTCTATTAATTTTAGATAACATCTTAATGTTATTGTTTTTTCTTCAGATAATTCTGCAGGATGTCAAAGCACACCAGTCCACAGTTGACCAACTAAAGGACAAACTGACCCACATCCAGGACCCAAAGACCAGTGGTCAGATAACGCAGACTTGCAATAAATATGATGCTGTGCTGTCTGCCTCCAAGGTAGAGCTGGTCTTTTCATTTCTTTACTACAAATTGATTAACTCTCACACTTCACCACTGAACTGATTAAGGCATTTTCAGGAAAACTTAATTAGATCTGTTCCAATATGTTGATCCTTTTCACTGGTTATAGGATGTCTTGGCACAGCATAATATATCTTTTGTTTTGAAAAGCATTTTCTATCTTTAAATCTGATTGAGTCTAAAAAGGGCATTTCCTCACAAAGTAAGAGAACAGATAATTTTGCCAGGCACTCTGTGTCATATTCAGAACGACATTCAACACATTTATGAAATGTGGTTTTCAGGAGCTTGTTACCAGTCTGGAGACCCAGGTGTCTGACCATCAAGCCTACAGGGAGAGGTACCATGACACCCTCACCTGGCTAGCCATGATGAAACAGAAGCTGAATAAGCTGCATACCTGCTCTGGAAATAAGGAAGATGTTGAGAAGAGATTGGAGAAATTACAAGTAGGCTTACAACATTTTAAGTATTCATTGTGGACATTCTGTCCCTCATTGTTGAATTATGTCATTTATTTGTCAATTGATATAATGTTAATGTTACAGTTTAACTTCTTCTCTCATATTTGACTCAAAAACAAGGAAAAAGAAAACAAATAACAAACAAACAAAAAACACCTGTTTGACTATCATGTTACATTTTTAAAAGCAGTAGGGATACATTATGAGAAATGGTTGGTGTATTGAATTTAATTCAATGAAATATAGGCGTAAAACGGATTTGATGAAGGCAAATGTTTCTGACAGCTTACAATGTCTTCTAGGACTTCAGAGAAGAAGCCCAAGATGGTGCCAGCAAGGTGAACACGGCAGTAGAACTAAACGACAAAGTGGTCCTGTGTAGTGCCACCAAAGGCCGTGAATACCTACAACATGAGGCCAAACAACTCAAACAGGATTGGGAAACCTTCATGGCCAAGGTTGATGAGGTGGAGGGAGTACTGGAGGAATGTATATTGTGCTGGATTGAGTATGAAAACGCTTACAAGATGATGGAGGAATGGCTAGTTGAAATTGAGGCTAAGGTGAAGGCCAAGCAAGAGACTAAGATTATGAACTTGGAAGAGAAACAAATTCTTGTAAAGGAGATGCAGGTGAATATCTTATTATTATATATTTTAAAAAAATACAGTTTTATTTTGTCTTTATCATAATAGTTCCAATACATATGAACTTTTTCAGTTATTTCCTGATAAACTTTACAGCTAGTATAACTTGAAAATCTAAAATTATGTGCAGATACTACAAGAGCAAATTGCTGACCACAAACCAATACTGGACAAAGTCAATGACCGCGCAGAAGAAGTGATCAAGTCCAGTACAGATCCAGGCGTTTCCATGGCAATGGTTCAACTGGCGTCAAGATACCAGACTCTGGCCTCCATTGTTAAGGTAGAATATTGTGTTAATTTAATATTATGTGTCACAGTTTTGATGTACCCCTATTATATAGGCTTTCTTGCTAAATAGACACATTGAGCTTTTGGCCTTCATATAGCAAATATTAAATTTTCCCAGAGATGTTAACACTTTTCTCTTATCACCATAGAATACCAAATTGAAAACTGTTCACAGAATTACAGTCCATGAGACCAATAAATTTTACTTCTGGTGGTAAAAATTAGAATTTTGGTACTCTTAGAGTGGTTTATAGTTTGCAATTTTCTTTAGCGTTTAGAACAGGGTAAGCCCTGCATTGGTAGTAAAGGGAAAATTCCTGATATTCCTAGAAAAAGTTTTTTTTATATAAGTGTATAATGCGCATGATATGCCTTTTAACATGACATCACCTACTGCAGTTTTGGTCCTTGCATTTTGTAAAAATAAACTGCATAAAAATTCTTAAACCTGACTTTGAGAGGATGAAGAAGATCTGATCAGATTCATACTGCAGTAAACCAAGCAAAGTGAATGTTGAGAAAAGTAGGCTTGATATTGGACAGGGCTGTTTGACTGTTCCCTGTTTGCCATGCTAAAAGTACAGTGTTCTGGCATTTTTTGCATCAAACTTATTTGCTTTTAGAAAGCAATGTTCATCATGGATCAATTATGCATTTTGTGATTGAGATTAGAGTAGTGAACTTAAAGGATACCAATAATGGCATCAATCACGTCAAATTTCATCTTTTTCAGGACCGAATAACTGTAAGTGTATCAGGTCGCCAACTGAAAAGGTTTATGTAACCTAATAGTTTACTAAATCTTGTATTTTTTCAATTAGTTCAATGTTCATGTGCATGAAGTTATGATATGACATCCCACAGTTATGTTATGTTAGTCCATACTAACTAAATTCAAAGATTTGTAAAATTGAAATATTCGGGTTATCTTGAATGCATGATGGATTGAAAGAAAAACGGGTCTCCAGATACTAAGATATTTTTGATAGTCTTGGACTTTCCAACTTATCCATTTTTAAGTCAAATACCATTTGCTGGAAAATTTTGCCAAATCCAAATTTTGTGTCAAACTGAAGTCTAGCAACTTTTGCAAGTCAGCATGATTAACTTTATTTTCTTATGTAAGTAGGGAGGCAGGCTGTTCTTGTTCAATTTAAGTATTATTTTGCATGTACAGGTATGGGAAATTCATTCAGGATAGTTTTTTTTCCTGCTACAAAGAAGATTTCTTGTGAAAAACAATAAATAGCATGCTTACTACATATAAACCATGGCAATGCATGGAATTTTTATTAACAAGTTTCATAGAAATGGTATTATTAATTATAAGAGAAAGATATGCTTTATTGTATTAGAAAATGAAGTTTGATAAAAAATGTATCTTATATTAATGTTAGAATGTGAAGGTCATTTTAGTAATGTCATTCATCTAGGTATTCAAGCTTTGTCTTCATTTTAAGAAATGTAGAGCACAACTTGTAATAGTGTTTTCAAATATTATTGATGTCAAAGTTAGAATGCATTTAACCTGTGAATCTGAAGAACAAAAGATAACATTATGCTGAAAAATATTAATTAATTTCCAAAACCCATTTCATTGTTATTTCTAAACTTATAGGATTCTCTGGAGAAAATGAACCAGCAGACAAGAGACCACAAAGCATTCAAGCGAAGTTATGATGACTGTTTCCATTGGATAGAAGTGACCAATCAGAAACTAGCTTCTTGTAATGATACAAGTGGTGACTGGCATGACATAGAGAATAAAATCAGTAACATCAAGGTATGTACTGAATGAATATAAGCAGGAAATAAATTAACAAGACAAAAGATTTGATTATGATATTCTTGTGTGGCATTTGTAATTTTTTTTTAAAGGTCAAGTGAATTTTAGATGATGATGATGTACAGTGCACTTCATTTTACTTTTGTAAAAAAGTGGATTTTACCTAACGGGAAAATTTGTACTGTATGTTAATTTAACTAATAGTATATAGTTATGTGATGGGAAGGTTTGAAAGGCAAACTCATGTTCAAGACATCTTTTTTTGTTTGTGCAAAACAACTTCCTGTCATTATTGTTGTCTTCAGTTATGTGGTTTTATATGAAGTTTAAGTGCTTGTTACACAAAAAGCCAAAGAATTCAAATCATTGTGCCTTTTATTTAAATCATTGTGCCTTTTATTTAGAAATTAGACAATTTTATTGTAATCAAAGAAAAAAAAGGGAATGCAATATTTTTGGTGCTCAAAAATACACAGAGATTAGCCATATCAAACATGCAAATTAACAACATTGCAGCAAGCATTAACAACTTCAAAATAGATATAAACACCATCAGAGCCAGACCACACTCTCTCGAAACAAGGTTTATTTTCCACTTGGGAGCTGGTAATATCAGTGCTCAGTTCTATAGGGAGGAACATTCAAAACAGTCTTGAGAAAAAACATTAACTTACCATATATAACACCCAGCTTGTGAGCACTAGTAGCAATCAATTCTAGGAGTAATTACATTTGGGGTGCCCATTAAGTAATGCACCAATACATACCACCTGGACTTAGGCCAGGAAATATGTGAAGGTTCTTACATGGAATGTACATAGATTGGTAAAGGAATATTAACTTGGTATTATGGAGAGTGACTAATTTTTCAATGGATTTTTGGCTCTGTAGAGTGAGTATTTATTATTTGTGTTAATGTTGCAGTAGGTGAGGTTTTGTTGTCCTTGGTAATTTGCATATTAATATTAACAAAAATGTTGACTTCGGGAAATCAGTCTGATCAATACCTACTTAAAAATTATAATTAAATCATTCTGAGAGGTTGAAGTTTTTTAATCTCTTGTTTCTTTTCTAGACCATGAAATCAAATAATTAAATAAATAAAAATTTACAAATATAAACTATAAGGACACTAGAAATTATAGAAGTAGGGTATATATTGTATAATATTGTGTTATTGCAGGAGATCACCAGTAGTTTGGATGGAGGTCTGCAGAAGTTGAACCATGCGTGTGAGATGTGTGATAGAGTCACACACAGATCAACACCAGAGGGGAAGAAAAAACTGGAGGCACAGGTGAGAAATGGTCACTGTATGAATATTAAAATAAGACTAATTGGAAGAAATAAGAATAGACTAACTGGAAAAGGGATAGAGGGGTAGATTGTGGAAAGTGTAACATGATGGAAGTGGTTGGATGGACAGCTGTCAGACAAACAGACAGATACAGAAAGGCACACAGACAGACAAACAGACAGACAGGCACATTGACTGACCGACGGATGGAGAGTTGACCAAAGGAAACCAAACATTTAAATTAATTACAATAAAGCCAAATATTCAAGGATAAAAAGAAACTAACAAAAAAATCACAAATGACAACATCTGCACCTGGTGGTGGTGGTGGTATTTGACAAGCATGCTATGGTGTTCTAGGTGGGCCTGTTGAAGGAACAGTGGGACAAACTAAACAAGAGCATTAACCAGTGCTGTAGTAAGCTAGAGAAGTGTCTAATCAAGTGGAACGAGTACGAGCAGTGCTATGGGGTGTTGGTGCACTGGATAGCTGAACTGGAAGATGGCCTCATGCTTGAGCCAGAACCCAAAGCTGACCTCAGCGAAAAGAAAGCTCAGCTAGAGAAATATAAGGTAGGTTGTGTGGAGTGGTGCATAACAAGGTGTACCTTATAAAATATGTCCATATGCAGTGTATAGCTAAATATGTGCTTTTAAAGGCTGAATATGTACACCATTGGTCATAATACAGATGCTCAGTGTTTGTGCATTATTTTTACCTGAAGATTATTTACTTATAGACTTGTTCCCAGAGGATAGACTTATAGTGACCACAAGTTCCTTTATTGCTCTTTGCTTGTTGTTTTAATCTGACTCATACCAAATTTAGTTTGACACCTCAAAATTTTTGTTTGTTCAATAATCATATAAATTATAACCTTGGGAGCACTTTCTGTGTTTTTGAAATTACCTCATCTTGTTTATCTAAGGGGACATTTATAGCAAACTTAATGTTTGTGAAAATGGCATTTTTATAAAGATTAAAGATATCAGTTTCAGAATTAAACCTTAGACATGATAATCGAATTAACGCACTTAAAACTTGAGTGCCATGTTGTTGTTCTCAAAGGGAATGACTAAATCAGAAAGTTGAGACCATTGATCTTGAGATAAAATGTGGGTACCAGAGGCAATGACATCCAGGGTTAAAATTTCATGTTTGTCAAGAAAAACAGTGTCATATGGTTATACAATTTTCATTTACGACTCATTAGTCGATTGTGAAAGATCTTTGTGTTTCTGTGTGGTGGTCTCTCAAGAGAGAACAGCTTTTTCTTCCTGTACCTGAAGTTACCTACGTATTACATAACTTTGGAACAGGTGTAGGAAATGTTGTAACATTTCATCAAAGGGAATGCCTTTTTGTCGTGGTGATAGATTAGGGCTAAGGGAAGGGTTTAGGTGGTCTTTCTATCCGGTGCATTAAAAGATTTCATGTCTAATTAAAGAAGGATAAAACAGGTAAATGGCCTGTTGCTGCATGAGTTGTACTGCATGTTGTTTTTAGGTGTGCATGTTGATTTGTTTATTATTACATTTGGTAGGTCATTATATTGTTAAATAAATAATTGATTATAGTCTCATAGCTTCCATTGCTTATTTGTGTGAAACTGACAGGAAAATGATTTATGTAATATAAATTTTGGACAAAAACTGATTACACCATCCTATAAGTTTGACGCTGTTAACTCTTCTTTCCTGCCCATTTAAATGGACCAAAACTGTATTTTCCTCAACCACCAGTTTTTAAATGCATTATATTTCCAAAAGCTCCTACAAATACAAACCGAACCGGTTTTTCCTACCTACACAGTGGATGATAAACAAACTCTTTACTAAAATGCAAATAACTGCCTATGAACAAGTGACCTGACCCTTCTCACCTTTTGTGACCCCCATATGGCGGAATAGTTTACAAGGCAGCTGCAGCTAAGATTGGCTTGCAAAACATTACTGCCTGACCTGGGAGAGAGGATAAGATATAAAGAGAAAGTGGGCAGTTCAATGTTATCTGCATAGTGACAACAAGAAGAAAATGTCTTAAGTTTCTACATTGAAGGTAGGCTGCTTCTGTGCATTATGTTGTGTGATGGCAGATCAAAAATTTGATGGAGATGTCTGAATACGGCTGGGATTGGAAGCGTAACTGTTGGTGGTGTTAACGGCTGCTGGGCTAGGTATCAGATGCACATGGATTTCTGCCTTCCTGGAAGTGCTCATACTAGAATTTTGTGCGTAATTTAATGTTAGCTTTACTGAAATATCAAGGTAATATGATTCATAATGGAGGATGGAGGGAAATTTTATTTCTATGACCTCAGGGGAAAACAGCAGGTAGTTTAGGTTGAAATACCCCAATAAGTGCATACAAGATGCCACACGTGTTTTATAAACTATTAATGTCTTTATTATCTAGGACTGAGGGCAATATACACTAGGTGACATAAATCAACCGTGGATGGTCTCTATGTGTATGTTTTTTTAGGTAAATTGAAGAACTGCATGTGCAAATGTTACCTAGCTGTGTGACATATGTTAAAAAAGCAAGGGATGTCTGCAGAACAGAGCAATGTGTGCCTTGCTTCCTACATATGTGACATACATGAGTTTTATTTTATTTTTAGAGTAGGAAGCACATATAAAATACATAAAACTATAAAATGAAAAAAAAATGCATTTGTTAGCCTTAATGAAAGATTTTGTTTTGTGTTGTATATGTGATCCATACCTCCTTTCAGTCCTACACACCATAAACAAATGTGTAAAAGATAATATATATAAGGGGGTAAATTTGCACTGTCCATAATTTGTTGTTTATATAGAATATACGATTTGCCTACAAGTGGTCACTCCTGTTGAAAATTGCCTCCTCTGAGATTTGGGGCTTGTTTTACAAATCTGTCCACATTAATGCACAATTTGATATAATCATAAGTAAATAAGACGCATGCTGGCATTCATCCTTACTTTGCAGTTTTTTCCTTGTGACTCCAGTGCTGTATTAGCTAATATTTTATCAGTGCATATTACGTGGGGGAAATGATACAAAAAGGGGGGGGGGGGGAATTAAATCTGTAGATGTACAGTGGACTGGAAGAGTGAAGTAACATTCAAGTTCTGCTCCAGCAGTTTTATGGATGTGTAATCACGGGCAGGTGATATCGGATGCCTTTTTAGTTACTCCAGCAAGGTGTTTGACATTTAAACAGTTACAAAGAAAAATGTGGGCTGTCATTTGAGAATGTGTTTTATATGATTAAGGTGTCTGATGGCAAGGGCATATACTATTTACCAACTATAAAGGAAATTTGGCTTGTCTGTTTATCTGACCGCCCTAACCCCCCCCCCCCTTCTAACTGGGCCTTAGAAAAGTGAAATTTATTTTCTGTCTGTTATCTCCCAAACCTGCTACATAGACATTACAAATATGTCATCAATAATCTTCCAACCTTTGTCACAGAAAAAAATACTTAACAATGAAAACTTGTAAATGCTACCTGCATTTGCTTGCAATTGGCATATCATACTAGTTGCAGGTCACAGGAAAGTTTTGCAGGGCTATGACACCCAGATTGGTTTAGATGTATGATGTAACACTATAGGCATGAGAGTTTATAAAAAGTGGGAGACCACATCATCTGTCATTCAGGTGAAGTGGTGATGTATTCAGTTCTACATTGCCCTATCTTCTCTATACTTAAATGTGATGGAATCAAGAGTTAAATTGAGTTCCAGTAGTCCAAACAACAGAGATCAATTGAGAGCCAATGTATTATCTTCTTTATAACTTGTCTTATTCACCCACTTGAAGCAGTATGGTTTTATCAGGGCGGAGATCTTATGTTTTTGGTATTTTCATACTAGTTTCCCCACTTGCGAGCAGCTCCTATACAATATTACCGGTAAATGGCATTGAATATAGCATTAACTTCTGACCCCTCTGGTAAGTGAACTCCATACATAATGTCTAACCAGTCATTTGTGAGAATTATTAGTGGGGAACCAAGTCTATTGTTTGAGTTAGACAGCATTGTTTATTGCTTTTTTCATTATTTTGTGGACGTAAGAACTAGCTTTCATGGCTCTCTGCACCCCTTTGAATACATTGTCGGAGTGGATCTAAATATGCTGTAATGTTAGCAGTGTGTGCATTCAGTTCATGTAATAGGAAACAAATGCAGCTTTCAGAAACCATTTGACTTATAAGGCAAAATAAAAGACCCTTGCTGCTGACTTTGCTTATTTTGGCTGGATTATATTACTGTTTTCTCACATGAAAGTTTTTACTTCTCAGGGCCTATTTTTCTGGTTGAGAAAAGAAAAAAGGTTGAACTTTTTTCGGAGACCAGGGGTTAATTGTCGCTTGGACATTTAAGACTATAGATCTTTAAATTTGCTGCATGGCATTTAATTCTAAAATTAAGGAAGTTGACATCCAAGTCTAGGCATCTATAACCAGAGAGCACCCTAAGAGCGCATTCTCATCGAGTTAAGCCAGGCTTTACAAAGCCGATGACCTAAAAATGGCGGACGTACATGAAAGAAAACCGCCTAATCTTTTAATAGCCTCTCCGCCTCCCCACACGTCGTCCCTGCGGGGTACAGTAATTAAATCTCGGCTCAGTTCGCCATGTGGAAGCTACCTGAGAAATATTAAGTGCGCATGCTCATCAGTTAAACTCGTGGTGAAGAAAGCATGGCGGCTGAAGGCGATCGAAGGAAAAAAAGCTCTTCTGTTCTATTATCTTTGAAAACAGAGACGAAAAAGGAATAATTTGGCCCGTAGAGCAGCAATGAATCGACTATCTACGGAGATAATATCACCAGAGATATTCACGGAAATATTAATGTTCGGAGCCGAGATTTAATTACTGTACCCTGCAGGGACGACGTGTGGGGAGGCGGAGAGACTATTAAAAGATTAGGCGGTTTTTCTTTCATGTACGTCCGCCATTTTTAGGTCACCGGCTTTGTAAAGCCTGGCTTAATTCGTTGAGAATGCGCTCTAAGAGCCCAAACATCTACCAGGAATAAAGGCTATAATATTGTTCAAAAAACTTAGGGAGATATGGCACGGATCAAATTGTAATCACTTCTTTCCTTCCTGAACAATTTCATCAACTTTGTGAAAAGCTTTTTGAGATAACTTGCCCATATATTTATTCCTGAGATGCAATTTTCCTACTATCATCAGATTTTAACTTTTTGGGAGCCAGAAATAACATTGGCTTAGGCAGGCCCCCTGGACACAACACTATATTTTACAACTTTTTCACTAAATTTCAGTATTATCCCTGCAGTAAGTAGATAAACCAACATCGATGAAAACATGACCTCTGTCACTGGTAAAGGTACTTGTAAAGGTAGCAGTTTGTGGTATTTTTACTCTAAGGGCGGCATGCCATCAGCACAGGGTTGTCCAGCAGTTGTGTTTATGTACAAACAAAGGTGTGGGGTTGATATGAAAACATTGAAATTGCCTAGCCAATGTAATCAGTGTACCTATTAAAATGAGCGAGCTTTTCTTATTGATATTTTAGTATTGAAATATGAAATAACAGTTTGTTATGAAATAAAATGTGATGTGAGATCTGGTAATATGTGGGTTTTGTGCATAGATGCTGTGCAAAAATAAATTTGGGGGGGGGGGAGGGGTTTTTTTATAACAGACTGCATATAATCAAAATCTTGGAAAGGAGGTCACATTACTACTTAATTTTGCACCGCCTTTCTCAAAGGTCTGCAGAGGGCGGATAATTTATGACTAAATGCAATAAATATGACTTACAATACAAAATAGGGCAAGTGGAAGAGCATTGTGCTAACTCGTTCAATTAGTTTTTGAACAGGAAATCCTACTTTTTCTCGGTACCTTTTTTCATCACAGTATGAGTTGAAAAGTGGTGATACATTGTTGGATGGAAGCAGCTTTGTGGTGATATTTGTTTTGTAACATCCAACTCTGAACATTTCATTTGTATTATTTCTTTCAGAGCATTAAGGCAGACATAGAACGCCATGATCAAGACATTGGAGACCTAGCCAATTTGGTCTCAGAACTGGAAGCCATGAGTGGAAATCGTGAAATTGTGCGGTCCCTGGAGAAGATCCAGGCTCGCTATGACCACCTGCGAGACAAGGCAGAGGTGAGATGATAGGCAACAAACTGATTTATAAGAAACTGAATGATGAATATATTTCAAGACAATTAATTTTGTATCAGTCAACATTTATAATAATTGTAGTTTGACCATTTAAGATCAAACTTGTAGGTGCTAGAGAAATTATAGATTCAACTCTCCAAAAACAGTCTAGTCATGTAATTGTTATTATGTTACTTCTGTTTTTTATTTTGAAGGCTAATTGAATTAATGATACAGCTGTTCTAAAAAGGAGCTAACTCAACAACATTTCTGATTTTTTACACCCTGTATCTGTAGGGAGTTGTGGAGCACCTAGAGAAAGCCGAAAATGAGCACACAACCTACCAGCTGACCCTGCAGGAGTGTGAGCGCTGGATTCTGCAGACGTCCTTCCGCCTGATGTCCCACAACACTCTGAACACCAGCACTATGGAGCTGACACAACAGCAGATTGACAAGCACAAGGTGATGCATCGTCCTTATCAGTTTGCACTACTCTTGCTTTATGTTATTAAATAAATGTCTATTATTATAAATTAATATTGATATTATTCACTAGGAAATTTTTTAATAAGTAAAATACATGGAAAATATGGATGTCATGTAGAAGTTAGTTGTGTGCACTGTTTTTTTTTTCTATAACCTTGAATAAACAATATTCTGCAGCAGTCAACTAAATCTTTTGTCTTTTGAGAGTAGATTTAGTAAAGGTTATTCAGTCACATTTACCTCACACCTATATTTTTTTTTATTGCAGACTTTGATTGAAGAGATCTATGCCTATCAGTCCACTGTTGACAGAGTGACAGAGCAAGGAAGACAACTAATGGAGAAAAGCAAGAGTCAACCCCACCTGGTGTCACAGATAGAGCATCAGTTATCGAATCTTGAAGACAGTTATCTGTCTCTACAAGCAACGGCTCTACAAATTAAGGTAAAAAAAAAAGCATATTGTGGCTTATTTATTGCATTGGGAATGGAATGGTGTGAAGGTTTTGCTTCATTGATTGGGTCCCTTGTCAGTTATTTCATGTAAATGATTGAGGGTGATTTAGAAGGAATATTTTAGTGATGCTCACAATGTATAGCATGAGTAAAGCTTCATTATCTGTTTAAAATGTTCCAACAGAAGTCTCAAAGTTTTTCAAACCAACGTTTATTCTCTTGAATATTGTGACATAGTGTTTTTACTAATGACATTTATTTCTACCTTTTGAAAACCTTCCCATGAAGAAATATATTCTGTTTAATTTGGTTTATCCGTTTTCTTAAATAACTATCATTATCTCTGATTTCATCACTGAATAATAAGTCACAAATCATTGTTTTCTTTCTAGTTATCATATAACTCTCTGATCGTCTGCTCTTTTTCTGTCCTAATACTTGGTTTTTATTTTACTGCCCACAGGTTATTTTGGATTACCATGAACTGTTAAAGTATTAGTAAGATATACTGATCCGTAAGACTGTTGATAATAAAATTAATAACAATGTTCCATGTAGTGGCCTACACAGCTGTAATCGCTCATTGCACTAACTCTTACTGCACACATGAAAAAAAAAGAATTTTTCTTTATAGTTTAAAGTTACATTTTCTGTTTCTTCAGTTTACTGGTAGAATTGTTATATTCAGATACAGGGGGAAAGTAAAAGTGGAAGATATGTTAAAATTAATCAAGAAACCTAGTCATCTGTATTTTCAGTCTATAATTTATTGTTATTTATGAAAATATTTTTAATGAGTTTTTTAATTCTTGTTTTCCATTTAAGATGATGGTATGCAGATTTCAATTTATGAAGTACAATCAAGTATTTTGTCATTTTAGTTAAGTTATAAAGTACACTTAATACATGAGATATAAAAAGTCAAATAATGAAGTTGCCTGAACTGTCAAAAACACCCTCATATAAAAAATGTTGTATCTGTGAACCAGCTTTTTAAAAAATAATAAAGCCATGTTATCATCATTGTTAATGCTGAAGCTACATGTAGTTTTGTGCGCATCACTAAGATATGACAACATAATAAAGAGTTTTGTTTTTTATTTTGAGACCATACTCAAGCACTGTATTTGTTTTTTGTTTGCAGTCCTCTCACAGTAATCTGATCTAACTATGCATGGCAGTTGTTGTGAATATTTTTGCATGTCAGTTTCATCTTTGAAAAAAAAAAGCTTGAGAACCTCTTTATGACTTAAATGCCTCTTATCTTTATGGTTTTATGGGAAGGGCAAATGGCCTATTTCTTTTAGTCTATAAAACGAAATCAGTTGTGCTTTAACAGCATGTCTGTCTCTACTCACAGGTTCTCTAGCTATACGCTGTTATCAACAGAAACTGACATTTGTAAAGCATGCTTAGATTAGATTTTTGTGAGTTTTGCAAACGTTAAAGGTAAAGCTTGAGCAATTAAAAAAGAAAGCCACACATGGAAAATCTCTCTATCATGGAGAGTAGACTTCTCTCTCAGGTTTGTAACATTTTCTGGAGCATGTGTTGAACTTTAGTCACATGAAATTTCAATATTTTACATTATGTATCAGTTAATTGTAATAAACTTAAACTGTGAATATCTTTCACAGATACATCTTTTGAAATTATTCTTTTCAAAGGTAGTTTTCATTTAAAAAAGTCTTTATTTGATGAATACATGAAGCCTCACATCTATTTTTATACATCTACACACTTAATCTCTAGAAATTATTTACTTCTTTTCCATTTGAAATCTTGTTGACATCATAGTTGATTCAATTTCATGACCTTGTAGGAGCGTTTGGGCGACCTGTTACAAAGATGGCAGCAGTATAAGCAGCTGTTGGTGGACTGTGAGAACTACCTTAAGTACGACCACGTCACCTGGCTGGAAGACAAGTCGCAGCTCTGTGCTGACAACTATCAGGATGCCTTTGATAAACTGAAGAATGCTAGGGTGAGTGAGGCTCTAGAAGCTGGTAAAATTAAAAAAAAACTTTTAATTTGTAATTTGTTGAAACTTTCTGAAAAAAGTTTTTTTAGATGTTGAGATAAGTTGGTTGAATGATCAATCTTTCTAGGCCCAGGAATTATTTCAGTTTGGCATATTAAGCCTAATTAAGAAAAAGACAATAAAGAATATTGCCCGATTTCAGAGGAGCTTTGACTAACAACAGATACACTTATAAACATGATTTAAGTATTCTTTTCAAAGTAGTAAATTAAATTTTTCCTTTAAAGAGCATTTTATCAGCTCAAACAAATTTTCACTTTCAGAAAATCTATGACCAGTTGACCACCTACCAGAGGACCATTGCCTCAGAAGCACACAAGTGTGAGAATGTGGGCAGTATGGAGAGTCTTGACCAACTGGACTCTGTCCTGGACTCTGAGGTCACTCAGCTAGCAGAAAAGGTCAATGATGACATTGGAAACAGCCTAGAAAAGGTATGCTGAATAGTACTGCAGGCATTAGAAGTAGAAGTCTTTTATTTGACTGACTATTCACGGGTATCTCACAGGTTTAATGCAGAGTAAGTTTGCAAATTATGATAATGGGAATTCACACGGAAGATATCAATTTCTTAAATAGTAAATGGGAGAAAAAAATATTTTACAATTATTTTACCTATTTTTCCAGACTAAAGATCGCATTCAGGAAATTAACGCAATGATCAGAAACTGGGAAGAATTGGAGAAAGAGAAGTCAGACTTAGCAGACTGGATATATCACAAGCATGAAGATGTCATAGCCATGATGGACAGACATGCCAAACTACATGTAGATGCTGCAGAGATTGAGATAAAGCATGCCAAGGTTAATTGATACAAAATTAAAAAAAAATCTTTGATATAATTTTATAAAATTTAATTTCTCCAAAGTTCACCATTTATGCCATTTGTCTACATATACGAAGCCAAAGCTTCAATTTAGTACTTACAAGGACTTTTCTGTGAATTTTACATCTTTTAAAATAATCCTACCTATTTGTATTTCAGGAACTGGAGAAGGAGATTCTTCAGAGTGAGAAGCAGCTTGAAGGCCTCTGGCAGCGCTATTTTGACCTGACTGCGGACAGCGAAGCCGACACGGATCCCGCATACCTGAAACTCCGCCACAATTGGCAAAATATGAGGGACGAGATTGAGCACTTCTTGGTCAATAGGGAAGATTTCTTGGACACTTGTCGAGACTATCACAGCCGCCATAGCACCTTAGATGCCACCCTGGAACAGTACGCCCGCGAACTTGAGCGTATCGAACAAGATGGCAATGCAACCATTAGTGAGAGGGCTGAGTGGTTAAAGGTATGTATTTTGTATGTCTTTTTGAGTGAATTTGATGAAGAGTAACCATTTTTGCTGTGGTTTAAATGACCTTTTTCACCAAGTAACATGTAGAAATCACAAAATTTAGTGATGTTTCGAATCGAAAGTTTTGCACCTGTGTGAAAACTAATATGGTAATTGCAGTAAGTGTCTTTAATAAACAAGTGTTTTGCATAGTTAACCAAGCCAGAATGGTTGCTCACTATGTCATTTTAAATAAAAATTATAGATGTGTAGTGATTACTATACATTGATTTGTAGTATTATAGTATCTGTTTATTCCGTCTTTAAAAAGGCTCGGTAGAAATTTATCTGTGTCAGTCTTGAAATAGATTCTATATTGAAATCAATCCCTTGCTCCCCTGCTAAAACAGTGCTCAAACAGTTGGTGATTCAGTGAAAACTATATTTGTAATAATCACATTATGAAATGCACACACCTTGACTTTGTTAATTCCATGGAATTATTCCCAGTTTGATTCAGCCAGACAACTCAGTTAATTTTCCCAATATGAAGGTGCTGGGAAGTAACTTGTATTGTTAATCAATTATTATTGGAAAATTTATTTTAGAAAATCACCGTCTTTCGTTTATATTGAAAATCACTGTCTTCCTAGCAATCAAGTTTAAAGATTTGTTAAAAACATACCAAATAGGGCTGTATCAGTAAACTTAGTTGGGCACTGGAAAAGTTTTATCTGCAGTATTTAATGTAGTTTACTAAAAGTATGTTTAGGAAATGCCAGTGACATGACTATTTAGCTGTACCCATCTTTTATTCTGTTTACAAGCTGTAAAATGGCTGTTTGTATAGTGTAACTATTAGTTTGTGCCAATACTTTTATTTCTATGATAGGTTATTGTAGGTTAAGGCTAGAAACAGGACAAATATCTGTTTTAAATTTTTTTAGAATTTCTGTAATACATAGAAATAGCTATAGCTGGTATATTATTACAACATAGTGGGACCTAGCTAAGAAAGAAGAAAATTATACATGTCTTTGCAGTTATTTTGTAAGGTCAGCAAACATAGGTAGTTTTGCTAGAGTAGAAAATCATGGTACAATACTGATATAACACTGTCACTTTCTTGATAGCACAGTGGGATTTTGATGGATTTATACATGTGCTACATAGAAATACCTCCAAATTTTGAGAGCATCTGGAAAATAATGCAGTATCTCCTCATACTGGCATTGAAGAAGGGGTTGTTTTTTGTGAGGTATAAATGGATATTTTAATCGTGTTTTCAGTTTTATGAGTGCAGTATTAGAAGGTTAAATGTGGAAAAATGGGGTCTGCAAATGAATAATTGCCCATATTGCCAAGCCTGTTATTGGCAGTGAATATTCTCAAAATGTCAATCCTTCTGTGATTGATGTTTTCTGTCAGTGATATTCAAAATGAAAGAAAAAAAATTTGATTCATGTGTACATGGGCACCATAAATGCAAAATCCTCGTACATTGTGGCAAATTAAATAAACCTTGTGATACATAAAATAAATGCAAACTTATAATAACTACATGTGCTTGTAACCCAACCTAACACCTAACCTATGGTAACCCTGCTGCTCACTAACCTTCAATAGAGTTCCTATATGGCCGCATTCAGAACAGTGGACTAACTAGTCTGAGGGTCAAATATGGCCAACCCACTTGAATACTTTCTCAGGGGGAATCTGTTCAATGACTATTAGCAGATCAGACAGCAAGCTTTTTAGTGGGTCGCCATATTTGACCTGCGGACTAGTTAGTCCACTGTTCTGAATGCGGCCTATAGCTCATCAGCTGGCTTATGTGAACTGTCCTGTGTTTCACCTGGTCCTTGTTGTGGATTGATGTGTGCTTAAAGCTTTATTCCTGATGGAAACTCCTTATAGAAGTTGTAGAGGTGAGTTGATCATGTGTTTTTGAAGGCTTGTTTATTGTGATTTTATTTATTAATATCATTTTTTGTCAACGTGGTTTAATACTACAGATCCATGAAAGGATACTCAATATGGATTTGGTATGTGTTTGGTATTTTATTGAAAAATCTTTTTGTTTAAAAAAATTCCAGTACTCTTAAATTTTTTTCTTTGAATTACATCAGTAAGTTGCTAAAGAGAATGAAAGGATTTTCATTTATAAAACTTTTTTCACTCAGTTATTTTATGCAGACAAGTAAAGACAAGTAACCTAGCTAGGACTCCTTTCATGGATGTGGCAATATTGCTGAAATATTAAAGCTTTAATCCACTAACAGTGAATGATCAAAACTAACATTGACATATAATTTGAGTTTTATTTGCGAATATGTTTTGATTTCAACTTTTGTTTACTTTGTTTGCTTAATTTTAATTTATGGTTTATTTTGTTGCAATTTATTATTTGGATGTAACAAGCTGCTGGCGGGGTTAATGAAAAAATCTTGATAAATAAGTAGATTTCTTTATTGTCATATCCCTTAAAGAAACTTTTTAAAAACTTACAAAAATAGATTTTACATTGGTATGATTTTACTTGTATGCATTTCTAGTATTGGGTTTAATTTAGTCAATCTTTTTAAATTATAGATCAAAAATATTTAAACTCTTTATATTAACAAAGTAGTGCATTCTCAGGTTCTCATTGTTGTGTTAGCATGTAGCTCCTGCAGATGAAATAGCCAAAAAAATGAAATTGTTTCTGAAAAATTGCATGAGTAGAAATTGATTTCTGTTTTGTAACAGTGGTGTTAGTGGGTAAAGCAGCAATTTAGTGGTTTTGTATTGCATGTCCCTTATCCTAACAGCTTTTGCCCATTTTTGCTGTGCTTGTTTTCCTGGTTGAATTTTTCCTTGTTGAGTGGCTTGCTTTTGACCTCTAACACTAATCACATCTTCATGAAGTCAATGGAACTTTCATCACAGATTGCAAATGTCACACCTGTATATTTTACACACATTTACACACCACAAGCTTCATATTCCATCACTTTTCCACATTATTTCACATCGTCTTCTGTATCCTTTATCTCTCCAATCTTGATTGGAATAAATCATGAACATTTAACTGAATTATGATAAATATACAATTTTGTGTTGAAAATAGGAATTGCAAGATACACTAAAATCAATGTATGGCAAGAAAACTGATGTTACAAAAGTAGACCATTGAGTAAAATATTTTCAAATCTGTCTTATTTGTCTTCATCAGATCAACGGAACTTTCAACACAATTTGCAAATATCATACCTATATATATTTTATACACAACAAGTGAATATTGTCACTTTTCCACATTATTTCAAGTTGTCTTCTGTATTATATGTATGTTTCCAATCTTGACTGGATCATGAACATTGAACTATAAAATAATAATTATACATTTTTTTGATAAAAATGGTAACTGCAAGTTACACCAAAATAAATAATTGCATGGCAAAAAAATATAAAACTGTTGTTACAAAAATAGACCATTGACAAAAAAATTCTAATATGATTTTTTTGTTGGCATATGAATAACCATTATGTGCTAACTTCTAATTAAATGTTAAAATAGATTTCTTTAATATGTAACCACTTGTTGCATAATTTGCCAGTGATTTTATATTAATCATATTCTCCAGCTTCAGTTCAAGCTGTAAGCTGATGCTTTATATTGGCATGTTGCATATAATCAAGTCTTGAAATATGATTGTGAATATTGAGATGGTAGGCTAAAAATTGTCTGTTACATTTTGGTAGATATTAGATTTAATTTTATAATTTTGTAAGTGTGATGAATATATTAGACAGCTTATCAAAATAGAGAAATAAGCAACTGTTTGGCTAATTTAATGATTTTTATGGAATGAAGTGAAATATGGTCTGATTGACATCTTATATCAGAGAATGATACATTGACTCACCATTAATACTCTTTGCCATGGCTGCTGCCTTCTCTTTTAAACTATTCCTTAAAACTACCACCCAAAGCTGTTTTACCCATGGAACATCCCCCATATTTGTATGGAGGTGTATGATCTACTTGACCTGCCTGGGCTGTAAAATACCTATAAAGGGCAAAATTCAGAGGGCAACTGCAGGAGCTTGCTGTGTGCAACAATGCCATTTCATGTTGTGTTAACACGTGGGTTGTTTGTATGTCTAGCCTGGTGCCATGGATAGTCATGAGTGTGGGACGCAAACCCTAGGTGAAGGATACTCATCAAGGTCAAGAGGGATGGCAAGGTCACCATCAGGTGGCGCCACACCAAGACTGCCACAGAGTGGTAGACAAACACCCCAGTCTCGGTCCCATAGGACTCGAGCAAAGTGTAATGACACTGGAACCAATAGCCCTAAAACAGGCCAGACCACCCCAAGGGACACCCAAAGTGGTACCAATACCCCCAGATCAAGATCTGGTAGGACCACACCATGGCTTCATCCAAGTGATGCCAATTCCCCCAGGACAGGGTCTGGTCGCAGTACCCCCAGGGAGAGGAAGAAACTGTGGCCAGATGAGCTGGAGTATGAAAGTGATGAGTCTGGACTGGGGGAGACTGTGTATACATGCCAGGGTTCTACCAGTGGCACCATGCCTGCATCACAGAATAGCTCTGCTATTCTAGATGGCAGTAGTAGTCCTGCTGTGGATAATCAAGAAGCACAGGAGATTGAACAAATTATGCAAGATAATTTAGGACACTCATTGTTAAGTCCTCTTCAGGTTGGTCGGGGTACTTCACCTGTACATAGTGATTCTAGTCTTAGATTGCCAGGTCTTCATTACGGAACTCAAACAGACAACTCACTAGGTCCCCTACAGTCAACAATGATGAATAGGGCCAGTGGAACTGGAAATCAATTTAGAAATTTTGATCAAAACTCTCAAAGCTCAGAAGATGGAGAGGACACCATAAGTGTAACTGCTTCTTGGACAACCTTGGACACCCAGGTGCCTGCTGCTACTAGGGATTTCTCAATGCAGACTATCAGAGATAGTGTGACACAAACCCCTGGCCATGCTGGTACACAGACCATGGTCATAGAACCTGAAAACACTTCTAGTCCAAGGCAAACATATGACTTTTCAATGCAGACTGTGAGAAGTGGGTCTACACAGACTCCAGGACATGTTGGCACACAGACACATTCCAGAAACTTTAGAAGCCAAGTGCCAAGTGGACCATTAGGGAATATGTCCCAAGCACTTGGTGCTGGAAGAAATTTGAAGGTACCAGGTACCTTGGATTCTTCAGGTCAGATATTAAGGAACAATACAATGCAGAATACAGGATGTGCTGGAACACAAACTTCTGAGAAACCTCTGACACAGCTTTCACCACAGACCAGGAGACAAGAGAGAAGACCTTTTGGATCACCTGTTGTTAGAGGAAGGGAAAGTCCCATGCAAATGGATGTTTTTCCGTCTGCATCTTCAACAGTTTCCCAAGAAAACATTCCAGAAATGAGAGATTTTGGTGGTCAAACAATATCAAATCATTCCACTCAGACACCAGACCATGCAGCTACACAGACTCCAAGCAGACATCACTGGAAGCATTTGAAGCAAAAGAAAGATAAGGATCCAAAGAAGTTAAAGAAAAAATCTGGCTCTAGGGAGTCTCTGCCCAAGAGTAAAGCAATGAGGAATGATAAAGATCTCGATTTGGTTCCAACAAAATTGAATCGTGTTGATAGAAATTTAAAGGATAATCCAAAATTGAAACATTTGGATGGAACTAAGCCTAAATATGTATTTGACAGTGATGTAGATACTCTCGTCTCTGTTAGACCATGGAGTATTTCAAGTCAGACGGAGAATATGGCAGCTGAGGCCACTGGTCAGACACCACTGCATACTAGCAGTCAAACTCAAACTCCTGTAAAAAGCAAACCAAAAAGGAAAGGCCGCGAAAGCCCCAGGAATTATGCAATTAGAAACTTGATTGATGAAGTTAGGAAGATAAAGGATGATATGGATAACAGAGAAATGCCCATGGAGGTGGATGCACCTTCAAATACACCTGATCAACGAAGGCACCATAGGAGTCATAGTGCCAGAGAACCTATACTATCACACAGAAAACCCGCGAGTACATTGGATTCTTCAGCACAACATAGTGATAGGCACTCCAGGAGTTTAAGTGATAGACTGGAAGGCAGGTATCCGCTGTTGCCAGACAGGACAAGAAATAGAACTGGATCCCAACAGAGAGATTCGTTCAGATATGAAGAACCTTCACCAAGGCAGGAGAGGAGAGAACAAGCACCCAACTATCCAACAGGCCAACACGCTCTTAGAGTACCAAGAAGTCCCTGGTTGCCACCTGATAGGCAAGTCATTCCCAGGCCCCAGTCTTCCATGCCTATGGCACCACCTAACTCTCCAAACATGATATTTGTCACCGAGCCCCCTGTACAGCTTGTCAACACACCACCACCACCATCACCGCCTCAACCCATTGTGTTAGCTGTGCCTGTCACAACCACTCCTGTCACATCCCAACGCACTCAAATCCCAGTGCCTGTCAACCCAGCCAGGTCTCCTCCATCTCCAAGAAGAGCCTCACCCAGGGAATTCACCAGGGAATATGGGTCAGCAGGACTGTCTGATAAGAAAAAACATAAGACTGCTAAACAAAAGGATAAAAAAGACAAGCAGGATATGGATGTTGCTATTGCCAAAGCTACAAAAATGGCTAGAGATATGAAAGAGACTTCTGAGACCATGAAAAGATCCCTTTTAAAGGATCTGATAGAAACATAGAAGTTCATTCAATTAAACTTATAAGACTAGGACAGAATTGAAGTTGCATGTTGGATAAAATGTTTTTTTCATATACCACCTAATAAAGGGAGTCACTCTGTTCAGGAAATTTATATCCCACTGTAATTTATGAAAGTATTTTTCTACACTTTCCAGATCACGCATAATATTTTTAATTGTATATTGATTTGATTGTTTTTTCAAATTTTCAGGGTAACAGTCATTTATACTTGAAAAAGCATATATGTGAAGCTTTTTTATATTAAAAGGGTAAACAATTTGAACTTTTCGCATAACATTTGTCCACCGATATTAAGTAATTGAAGTGCCTTCTGAAAATTTTGCTGATTATTTTGATTTGGTATTTTTCATTTAAAGTAGATGTTAGAAATATTATCAACCCAATATGATGTGATTTATATACTTGAAACTGCTTAGGCCAGAAAATTAAATTTATCCTATCATACTAGTCTTTTAAAGGAGAAGAAATTAATGGTTTTGTGCTTTCTGTTCTTTGAGAATTTAAAATGGAATTATGTTAGATTTTACAATGGTTTCCATTTTTGTCAATATTTTCAAGCAGTATTACTATAATTTTTTTTGATAAAGAATTTGTTTGCTTTTTGTCTTGTATAGAGGTAAGCCAAGGTTTACCCTCACAAATACAAAAAGTATTTGATTTTGAACTAAAGTACATTCATGTATAAAAAAAAATTAATCGATTTGCAAAATGTAACCAATTTATGTGATTGATACATGATGTGAGGCCATAAACCTGCCACCTAAAATAAATACAATTATTGAAAAAAGGATATGATATTGTTGCTGTGTTCAGTGTTTACATACCGAGTATTGGGTAATGAAAACCTTAAGAATACGTCCATATATTGGTAATCAATTAGACCTACAATATTGACTCGGCCTTTCATCAAAGGCTGTTACACGGCAATAAATGTATCTGAAAAGAAGGCAGATTTGATAACTTTCTCAAAATGGAGCATTCTCATGTCTTGCATATCTCGAAGTAGTGGGGCTCAGAATTTCAGTGTGGTGTTATCATGAATCTACACCTTACAAGAAAATCCCACTGTTGATTCGTTGATATTGAGTGTACATTTGTTTACAGTGGTCAATAATTAACACGGGCTGAAGTGATTATTAGTATAACTGAACTGTTTGCTTAAATTTTCAATGAGCAGGTAGACAGGCCATTGCAGTGCCATTCAATCAATTAGTTAGTGGCAGTTTGCAGTGCCAAGAGTTGGTGAAGTGTTCTACAGAAAAATAAGATTCCGAGATGAAAAATGGAGATGGAAATGATTGCAAATGGCAGGGATAATCTTAGAAAACCCATTAGGATAACAATCAAGTTCAGGGCATGCATTTACCGAGGATAGGAAATTGAGAGAATAATGTGACACCTGAACTCAAACAGAACTAAGGGCATACATATTAAGCAATGCTGCATCATGTAAATCATTTTACTGCCCAGTGTCCAATTACAACCATCACTGTTATTTAGGAACAATTTTGAAAATCTGAACCAGTGGTATAAATTAGACAGCAATATGATGCAAAAACTTGTTTATGCAGAGAAAAATCTGCAAATGAAATAGTGCTGCTTAAGTATGTGTTTGGACTCAGGGTTCAAATGTAAAAAATGAGGGCATCATGGGTGCTTGTCTGTCTTGTAAAAATGAGCAGGGATCACGGCATGAGAAAACTTATACCACTCTTAGCTTCAGGAGAAAGAGAAAGGTAAGATGAAAGTTGTTTGTTGAGGCTGATCAATACTGAATTGTACCAATGGAAACTCTGATAGTGTGTTCTGACTGGGATATGCTTAAACCAGTGCATAATGTAGGTGATTTAGTTTTAGTAAAAATTAATAGTAACCTTGGATTACCAAGCTATGATGCTCTGAGCATGTTGTATTTTAACTGGTTGATTGAAACCAGTCTGTCATAATGGAAGCGTTTCCCCTGTTTCACTATTAAAAAATAAAGAAAAGATGCATAATTTTCTGAACCTTATGTATAAGAGTGAACCCCTATCAAATAATGTCAACTTTGTATATTGAAAATTGACTGCAGGTGAATTGCAAATTCACTGGACATTAAGTTCACTTTTGATGTCACTGACAGAAAATCAGAAAATGTAAGTGTTCGGTGTTAAGTATCAATTAAAACACATTATTTTGAACTTTCTATATCTATTCAGCACTGTCAGTGAAAAAGTATGTTTATGCATGTATAGAAATTGTGGAGCATATTTCAAGGCTGACACGGCATTCCATGAATGTTGACACTATGTGCTTACTATGGAAGATAATTAGCAACAATTGCATTGCTGTCTCATTGCATCTGGCACACTCAATGTCATCTAATATCAGTAGTTATGCTGAAGAGTATATTGTGTGGTTTGTGTGTCAATGCATAAATTTTGAGTTTGTGAAATCAGTACTATTAAAACAAGTTTTGTATTTACATTTGTATGAAGTATAGGATGTAAAATTGTATTTACATTTGTATGAAGTATAGGATGTAAAATAACCGAGTATCACATATTGGAAAAATTGTTTAGTGGTGTTTTGATTTTTTTTTAACTTTTCACTAATGGGCCTCAAACAAGTTTTATCTTTATATTTTTTTTCATCCTTGATATCGTATGTATTTCACAACTTTTCTGAGATGAATTGGTAACCAAAGTTCCTTTTCTTGTGAGGTTTTCCTGATACTCACATTCATATGAAGTTTTGAAAAATGACTTTAAGTCCACTTTCTTAAACTGTAGCAGTTCCTCTTAATGTGTTTGACTGTATATCTTGAAAAGTGAAACATTTTCAGCAGTTTCTCAGTTGATGAATTTCCCCATTTCAGAAACTTGTATCAGACTTAGACAGTAAAGAAGAAGATGTGGCAGCATTTAGACAACTTGGTGGAAGAATTGCCCCCCGGGTCAGTCCCCATGACAGAAACCTGGTGGACTATCAAGTCAGGTAAGCCAAATGATCTTCTCTCAACTGGTGGGGAGTCTGAAGGCCAGTTCAAAAAAAAAAAAGATGGGCTTTAAACTTTCAGGCTTAATTTTTGAACCAGGGTAATATGTTATTTTAAAAACATAGTTATAAGGGGTGGTCTTTCAACTCTTGTCTCCTGGTGGTTATACTATTATATATATATATAGTCACAGTGAGTAGTAGTAAAAGTTTATATCAGTTCTCAGAGAATACTTTAATATTATTAAATATATTTGTATCAATATCATCAGGATGTTTAATGCTTAACTGTTATTTCAGAAAACAGTACATTAATAAATTTTATTACTACAATCATAATATTACCCTCTGGTTATCAAAATACTAAATTCTCATGCTCAGTACTAAGTGAAGATATTTAAGATAAGCTGAAATGTGTTGCATGATTAATAAGTCATTACCTGGAAGCCTTTTTAAGACAAGGAAGGCCATTGCATTGATTTGAGAATGCAAGTAAATAAGAAACATGACTGATTTTACAGAGATATAGAAGGTCGCTACAATGATTTACGCCAGCGTTCCAAACATCAGAAGCAGGCGTGTGAGGTGGTGATCATCAGCAGAGAGACGTTGTTGAAGGACTTGGATGGCTACGTGGCATGGCTGAAGGAGAGAAAGAAGATGGTGGGAAGCCAGCTATCTCTGGGGCATGGGGTCCAAAATGTACAGCAGCAGTTGCATGAGCATAATGTAAGAAAAATGAAAAGTCAGATAATAACTTTCCTTTCTGAAAAGAATAGGCCCAAACATGCCTGTATTTACTTTCTAAAATTGATAGGTCAAAATATAATCTCTTTCCTTTCATGAAAAAAAATTCCAAAGTATGACTCTCTCAGATTCTGAAATTCATATCTTAGCACCGGTATATTTAAATATTTATATATTTCAAATCTGTAACCTTAGTTTATTTCTGTTCTCTCAACAGGCTACATATTTTGAAAATGTATGTGATAGTTTCCTACTGGAAGAATACAAATTTAACAAAAGTATACACTGTTTGTGTTATGACAAGTTATACTCAACAGATAAGCAAGCATTATTGATGGTTCAGGATTACAGTGGTTGTTTTAAATTCATTTATCAGATTATCTGCAAAGAAATAGAGAGCAAACACACCGTGCTGGAGTCCGTGAGCAGACAAAGAGAGACACTGCTTTCTGAGCTCAGCCACCCAGAGCGGGAATCAGTTGACAAACAGATCCAGTCTGTTCAGAAAGAGCACAGCCAACTTCACAACAACGCCCTCACAAAACAGAAGCTTCTCTCTAGGAGTCTGGAGCTCCGAGAGGAGTTCTACCAGAGCTACGAGAAAATAACAATCTGGGTTGTGGAAAAGGAGAGGATTGTTGGGAAAATTGACACCATAAGGCTGTATGCTGTGGAAGTGGAGAGGCAGCATGAAAAATACAAGGTTGGTACAATTGCCCCAGAAATACTTTAAATGACTTACAACCCATTTCCATAGATTAGATCGACCTACTTTAGATCGACCTAACTCCCTGGGGGTTCATGCTAAATAGCTGTCAGCCGAGTGGACACGAAAGTTAATTACCTCCTTACAGCTTGTAGTAGGTGGGACGGACATTTAAGTCGGATTATCTGAAAGTAATCTAGTGAGACTCCCCGCGGGGATAGATCGATCTAAAATCTATGGGAATAGAGCCTAAGTCCCCATTCCCTTACACACCATTGGACTACGTGGATCAACTCCGTGGCATTTCTTGCTGTGTGCAATCAGCTTAATAATTTCTGTTAGCAAAATAATATTCACATTTTTGCCTGCGGTATTATTAGCATAATACTGATATTTTATAAATATAAACAATCTTTAAATATAAAGACAAGATAACCAATTTAGCCCGTTTCCTCCATCTTTATCGTGGTTTCCCCCAGAGGCTCTTCCGATTTCAGATTTCAAAATGTCACACATATTGAAATGATCTCATTTATTTCCACAGACTTTGCTGACAGAGGTTACTTCCATGGAGGGTACACTAGAGGAAGTGGTGACCCAGGGAAGAAATCTCCAGACTGACTGTGATGAGCAGGGGACTTCTGAGCTGGAGACAATGTTGAAGGGTCAGTTCTACTTTGATATTGAAAAAAAATCTTAAAATTTTCAATGAGAAAGAGGGACTCTTAGATTATTACATGTATCTTATGAGTTTGTAAGCAATTTCTCTTTAAAAGAGATTATATACACACATAATATGTATATGTTCTCTACAAATTAAAATCATCTGATGATTGGTGGAGTTTAAAAAGATAGTGGTATTCTGTACATGTTCTTGATGAAATATTATATTTTTCTAGAACTACTTGAAAGATATCAAACAATGAAAACACGCCTGTCTGAGCATGTCACCACTTTGAGGATGAGCCTAACCGTCAGGAGGAAATATGAGTCCAATATTCAGAGACTAGAACTGTGGCTAAAGGAAGTAGAGCTTACCATCACTACTGAGATCAGACTGGACTGTACAATAGAGCTGATAGAGGAACAGCTCAAGAAATATCAGGTTTGGTTTGACACAACATTTCTAATGTAATAACTAACACCCATCTGAAATCACTGTCTGAAATTTGCCAGATTAAGTTACTTTCTTTAATGTTTTAATGTTAACATTTAATGTTTTGGGGTGATTGAAAGTGAAACAAAGAGCCAACATTGCTGGTTTTGATCATGTAGAAGCAGTGACATATTCATGTTTGTTGTGCATTTGGTAGATCAAGAATTTTAAGTGGAGAGTATTGAGAACATCAGAATACATTTTGAAGTTATTGGATAGATAAAATGCATTTTTTTGTTTGTTTACAGAGTTTGTTGCAGAAGATAGCTGAATATGAAGTTCTCAGTGATGAAGTGACCTCTCAAGGTCAGAGTTTCCTGGGGTCACTCAGCGAAGCAGACAAGCTGACTCTGCAAGCACAGATTAAAACACTCAGGGATAGACATCAGAGGTAAGAACCATCAGGTGTAGGCATTTGTAGCAGTAGAAAAAAATAACAACCCAGTTCCATAAGTTTATGAAATGAACTTTATTGTACCACCAGCGTTAGCGCTGGCGGTACACATGGTTTCGGTCCCGTCCGGATCGTTCCGCCGGCTCCGCCGGCTCCGTTGGCTCCGCCGGACGGCNTTTGTGTATGTGGAGGTCTATACGATTGCTTTAACTCCAGCTGGTGGTACAATATTTGGAGGCGGTATCGCCTCTGATCCTCTAGTTTTCTCATATGTTTATCCATTCATTTCAAGAATTTAGACTTGAGTAGTAATGTTCTTTAAAATTTTTCCATCTAAGGAATTATTTGTAATAACCAGCAGGTTATTACCAGCACCTGTAAGCAGTTGTAGTGGAAAAAAAGCAACTCAGTTCCAATAAGTTTATAATATGAACTTGGTTTTCTCACATGTATATTCATTCACTGCTGCAGGAAATTAAACTTGAGAAGTAATGTTCATTAAAATTTCTCCATCTAAGGAACTACATGTCTTGAACATAATGTAAAGACATCAACAAAAATACATCTCTTGAACATAATGTAAAGACATCAACAAAAATAGAAATGTATTTGAATACAGAGGGTTCACATCTACACTGATCTATTCTCACAGGATATCCAACCTGGCCAAACAGCGTGTGAAGACACTGGAGGACACTGTATATGCCAGGGGTCAGCTGGACGATGAGATCTCCCAGTGCGCCAGGATCCTGAACTCACTGCAGGAAGATGTTCGCAGGCTGAACAAACCTCTGGCCATCAAAGCGGTAGAGGTCCAGAAGATGCTGGCCCAGTGTGAGGTAAGCATGGTTTAGATTGTTTGCTTTTTTGGAGAATTTCTAGGATTTTGAAAAAAATAGGAGGCACATGGTTTGAAAAATAAGAGCCTTCAGCCTTGCTTCAGGGTATTTTTGCATATAGGAGAGAAACTTTAAGGAAGGTATGGTGTTTTGTTGTCTCTTTACATTTTAGACAATTGTTAGCAGAAGCTAATTGGCAAGCACTTGTTATATACACAGTAAAATTTTATACATTTTGTTCTACAGAAACTGCAGACCCAGTTGAATGATTACCAGCCAACCATCATTGCTCTCAACCAATCAAAAGACAGTATGGCAGCCAAAGGTCAAACCACAGAAGCCTCGGAACTGTCTCGCTTGACGATGACCTTTGACCAGGTCATGATGCAGGTGGAACAGTCCTACGCCAGGTTGGAAAATGCTGTTACAATCAGGCAGCATTATGAGAGTCTGAAGACAGAGTTTGAAACTTGTTTGAAGGAGAGCCAAGAACAACTGGATGCAGTCAGTGAGCTTGGCATACCAACTCCAACTAAATTTGACAGATACAAAGTAAGAGAAAAAAATATCACTAATGAATACACTGATATTTTGTCTACACAATTGTTTCAACATGCATATTTCTGGACATGGAAAAGTCTACATGATTAAAAAAGGAGTAATTATAGTGCAGATCTCTCTTATTCTCTATGCTGAGAAGCATTCTATTTCAGCAAATGGAATTTAATCAATAAAACATATAGTTATATAGTATTGTTTGACAGTATTTGGGAGGATATTTCAATATTATAATACAAAACTGTCTAATTATATATTTTTCATACTTTAGGCTGTCCACACCATCCTAGAGGAGCAAGAACTCCAGCTGGCCACCATAATGGACAAAGGGCAGCAGATAGCCATTGAGTGCAACACCACTGACCAGAGGACAGTGGCAGACCAAAACCAAAGCCTCAAGCAGAAATTTGATAAATTGCTCCGTGCAGTTGAGAAGAAAACGGAGGAGCTGGACAAAATCATGTCAGACAGGAGAGACTTTGAGACTGAAATGGATAAGACTTTAGAGTGGTTGCAGTCGAAGAACAGAGAGATTGTGGTCCAGGTTCCTCTCAGTATGGAGGCTGATGAGGTGGAGGTGGAGATCAAGAAACACAAGGTAATGGTGAAAAATGTGATAAATAAGCAGGTTGATATGGCACTTGTTTTGTAACTCATAATTACGTACTATTTTTTAAACAAGATAAAGAGTCATTTCTTAAAAGGGAACAACATAAGGGATCTTAAAAACAATGGTTACTGTAGTCAACAAGATTTCCCTATGCTATGTCCACTAATTTCAGGTATTTTATGAACTTTGTACACATTATTAATTTGTAAGCCCTATCAGCCTTTTACAATTGTTTTAATTTGTATGTAAAAATTCAACTTTTTAGTTGCAGTTTTAGACTAAATTATAAAGAAACACAGTATCTTCAAGAGTTGGACTAGAATTGAACTAGGTGATTTTGATATGATTATTGAAGTTTCATCTGATTAATTTGTAATGTCTCATTTCAGGTTGTTGCTGATGAAATAAACAGCCATCTAAGAGAAGTACAAACCAAGATAGCTCAGCAGAGAGCTCACTTTGAAGAGCTTGATGAAATTATGCCTATTGAGATGACAGACAGATTAGAGCAATACGAAAATGACAGAGCAGCTTTGCAGGTACATGTATAACCAAAATGTTTCATATATTACATATAATGATTATTTCCTGGTATTGCCAATCTTATTGCACTCAACAGTTCCTTTTACACAATGTTTGAGTTGAAATAATAGTAATTTATATTGAAACATCAATTATAATGTTTTTTTATCATTTTCAGTCCAAATTATATGGTAAATCCGATTACTTGAATGCTGCAAAGAATAACCGCCTCAGATTTGATGACAAGCAGACGAGCTTGACCATCTGGCTTCAGGATGCTGAGAAACTGCTTGTCCCTGTGTATGATGGGATAGATTATGAGAGCATCACCTTCCAGCTACAGCAACACAGGGTGAGTACGTATGAAATAAGAAATTCCGCATTTTTTAAATACATTTGCGTTACTTTGATGTTTGTTTTTCTAAAAATTAAACTACCTTGTGATCTCTGTTGTCCTGAAAAATATTGTCATGAATTAGTTTTAATGATTGAATTATTTCAGTCAAAAAGTGCTGCTGTGTTTGATACAAATGTATAAATTGTGTATATTTTTGTGACCCAGGAATATTTTGCTGATGGACACACGCGAACTGATGAAATGTCCAGAATCCAAGACACAGCAGAGCGTCTTTTCCCAACACTTGATCCCAATGACAAAGAGACTCTGCAGCAGTCAGTAGAAGCTCTCAACCAGAAACTCACTGATGTATTGAAAGCTGCCGCGAAACGCCAGAAACAGTTAGAAGATGAGCTCAAAAACTGGAATGAGTTCCAGGTACTTTCTGAATATACTGTCTCCATGGCTATAACATTAATTTATAATATTGTCCAACATCTTCACATTTCTCAATTTTTTAACAATAAAAACAATGAATGTTACAACAGGGGCAAAAATTCTGCTTTTAATGAGTGTAATTTCAAAGGAAGTGAAATATTTTAAGTCAAATATTTTAATCACTGATGCTTGGCATACTTTTGGATTAATAGGGATTTTTGTTTACATTGCTGGTTTATTATTGTTATTAATTTATTTATTCATTTTTTTGCTTCAGGGTCAACTCGAAGATGCTAGCCAAACAGTGAAAGAATTGGAACTGAAATGGGAAAATGTTGACACCACTGCTGCTGCCACTTCTGAACAAGCTGCTAAACAGTTGGTCCAGATTGAGGTATGTAATCTTGATGATAAGAAACTCTTGAATATAAAAACTCCGCAAACTTCGGATTTAAGCCATTGGACTTAAAAGTATCAGTCATGAATAGAACTTGTTTACTTTATGTATACTATCATCAAGGTTGTAACCAATTTTAGATCATTGAAAGTACCAATACTCACTTCCTTCCCAAAATAAGCTGTTTGAGAAACATTATTTATTCAGCAGGGGGCAGTGTTCATTATGGGCATGTTTATTTGCATGTTGACTTTGTTATGTTCAGAATTTCACTGAGGCTGTCCAGAAGCGTGCTGCAGTATTGGACCAGATGAACCAGAAGGCCAGAGAGTTGACCCGCTCTGGAAACCAGAACAGCCAGACGGTCATTACCAGGATGATAGCTGGTATTAATGAAAGGTGGAGAACCGTCAGCAGTCAGGCAGATGAGAGACAGATTGTACTCAGGGTAATTTGTTGTCATTGTTGAACTATATTGATATAATAAAAACAGTTTTTTTAGCTTTGGGATGCTTAAATAAGGCAGACTCTTTACCATCTCACATTCAACTGAATATCTACAGTAAGAAACGGGTTTAACATGATTTATTTATTTATTTATTTATTTATTTATTTATTTATTATACCAAATATTTTCTAACCATTTTCATTCATAATTTACAGGAGTATGTAACAGAGTGGCACCTTTTCTATCAAATCTATGAGAGATTTGAACACTTCCTACTCACCATTGAGGAGAGGATGCCCAAGGAAGATGCCATTAAGCTCACCACAGCTCAGCTCCAGGTCCAGATGTCTGACTGCCAGGTAAGAGCACCCTGCTTGTCAAGTGGTTTCTGTAAACTCACCTGTCTTATTAGCTGAAAAAAGGGGAGTTTCCAGCAACACGGAATTCAGGGTGGGTAAGAGTGGATAATTGGTAAAAACATATCCCTTATTCAGTCTGTTTTTATTCCAAATGGCAAAATATAACAACAGATATTATGGAAATAACTTACACCATACCCTTATCCCAAACATGTATCAGCACATGTTGTCAGTACCTGTTTTCTCTTCTGATTGAGAGAAAGTACTCAAAATATATAATATAAAAATGTTATGTCAATATTTTGATAAAGCTAGGGATGAGATTATTCCAACTATCAGCAGATTTCCAACTTTTTGGGAGCCAAAAATATCATTGGCCTAGGCAGCCCCCTGGACCCCACACCATATTTGCTGACTTTTTCACTAAATGGCAGTCTCATCCCTGTAAGGCCCATATGTTATCAAGATATACATCTTTATCTTTTTCTTCAGACCATTAAAACTGAGCTAGAAAAGCAGCACTCGGAGATAGGCAAAATGCAGAAGGCAGCCCAGGCAATACTGAGTAAACTGCCTAGCAGTGATGCCAGAATTGCAGTGCAGAGGAAGATGGTGGCTGCACAGGACAGATATGACAAGTATGTTGTAACAGTTGTGAAAAGTTATTTCATTGTTAGGTGTACAGCCAAAGGATGAGTTTTTTCTGAAAAAAAGTACTTTTATCTCATAATGGCATAGAACCTGGATTAAATTTTGATTCCTAAATTAAATTTTGATTCAAAGCGAACCTATTCCTTTCCAAAGTTTCAGATAAATTCTGAGTATACAAGAAAAAAATGGTAATTTAAAATTTTTATGTATGGCAAAAATCAATGTGATGGCATGATTTTCCATTTAGACTTCACAAAGAAGCTACTGACATCCAGCAGACGGCCCTTGGTGAAGTCCAGACTAGAGATACATTCCTTCAGGAGCTTCATTTAACTCTTCAGTGGTTGCAAGAGGCCCAAGCAAGATCTCAGTCTCTCACTCAGGGAGATTTACATACTAGAACTGAAAAGTATAAGGTAGGTCACCTCTTGGTTGAAAAAGAATTGTAGGATATATTTAAGGCATTTAGAAATGTTTCGTTAAATTTTTGCTGATTATATTAGTGCATCTTCTTTTGGCACAAGTGCAGGATCTTATTTCAAATATTTGTTTATTTATTTATTTTTGCACTTATTTAAAAACTACATCAGTGTTGCAACAATCTTATTGAAAGAAACAAAAACAATTCCTGGCTGTATTTCTCTTGTTTAGGCCTTACAACGAGAAGTTATCCTGAAAACCGAGCATCTCAAGACCCTTGTGCACAAACAACGTGAAAAGTACCGCGCCCTGTCGCGCGACCTGCCCCCAGAGCTGATCACAGAGATAGAGGTGTACAAACAGGCAGAGGAGGCCACAGTGAAACAACTGAAGGAGAGTGAGAAGCAGCTGGATCATGCCAAACAAAGCAAGGTAACTTTAGTATATAACAGCTCAAAGTTTGTTATTACATTTTAATTGGTTGGTAGGTTTGCCTTGGGTATGGTTTGATTTGTGTAAAAAGTTTAATAAAACTGGTAAGACTCATTTTGCTTCTTACAGTGGATCTTGATAACTGAGGATTCACAACACTTATCACAAAACAACAACAAACACATTTAAAATTATTAGAAGTGATACTCAAAAAAAAAAAAAAAAAAAAAAAAAAAATGAAAGAAAATTTCAGAGCTTTCAACCATAACCCAGTCTTGATCGCTCTGATGTATGATTATGATGACATAATTTTATGGCCAGAAATACAATAAATGTGGCATTACTTTTGATAAGGTAATGTGATAAAGTAATAAACATTTTGATTACTCATTATAGTTATTATAAAACTTTATTATTTGTATTTTGTTCAGATTGAATACCATGACATGGTCAAGACAGTCAATACCTGGTTGACCAATGCGGAGGAAAAAGTTCAAGACAAAGATGGAGACTTGGAAGAAACAAATCAGAAGCATCAGGTAGGACTTCCATTGACAATAGAAAATATTAATATGAGGAATATATATGTCTTATGAAATATATTTGAAGTACAGTGATTTGCAGAAGGTTTTAACATTAAATTTTATGGCTGGCTTTTAGTATTGGGTTATTATTTTAGAACTGTTTGTTTGTAACCTTGCTTGTATTCAGTTAGCTAGAAACACGAAAGTCACTGAATGGAAACGCATGTAATCTGATTGTGTGATATTTTGTAAATACAGTATCTACATTGATACTTTCCCTCATATAGGACATGAAGGTGAGCACAAGGGTGTATTCAGTTTTCTTTTTTTTTTTTTTTTTCATTCTCATTCTCTCAAAAATCTGTCCACATTCCTTACTTAAAGATGAATATAATGTGTTTGAAATGTCAGTTTTTTCTTAGTCTGAATGTGATGAAATGAGTTCTTTATCCCTAAAAGGTTTTATTATAGATGTTATTTTTTATTGAGGACAACTTTTCTTGGTTTAGAACACAGCAGTATTTTGGATATAACAGGATTTTTGGAGGTGGTAGAATTGCAAGAAAAGATCAGTGAATATTTTTTAGATAAATACAAGTAATTTTACGACGTGTGTATTGTTTTGGAGTGTTAGGAAGATATAGTATCTTCACCTATGCATGCTTTTATTTGCAATTTCAGCAACTTTGTGTGGAATTAGAGCTTTTCAAGACTCAACCAGAACAATTAGAATCCAAGGCCAGTGAGGTAATTAACCTCACAGATGATCCAAAAGAAAGAAGTTCCATAACAAAAACTGTTAATTCTGTCAATGATCGCTGGGCAAGACTCCTACAGAAAGCAGCAGAGAGAACAGAACACTTACAGGAAGCCTTAGATTTGTGGGATAGTTTTGAGTCCAGCCATATTGTTGTTAGTAGTCAGCTGACTAGGACAGAGACAGTGGTCTGTACCGAGTTGGCTTGGGCTAGTCTTGAGCGTGTGAAACAGCAGCTACAAGAGCATAGGGTATGTCCAGTTCAAAATTACACATGCATTGATTTTGTACATGATTTAATTATTAGAAAAGAATAGTACGCGACTTAATGTGTTTGTGATCTGAAGTATTAACACAAGTAAGCAGAGTGGGCCATGAGGTAGTCAGACTTCACCAAATTTAGTTTATTTGAAATGTAAAACAAGTAATGAAATCATGTTTCTTAATATACTTAACAGTCTCTACAATATAGTTGAGACCAAGTCTTAGAATAAACCAAATCATTTTTCATACAATTCGTAAGCTTTATATCCACATGAAAGATTAACTGTTCTTCTGTTTGACAGGCTTTACTTGAAAATGCCCCAGAAATTGACTCTAAATTGGAAGCCATGAGCTCTACGGTAAGGCAGCTTTCAGACATTTGCAATGCCAGGTCCGTGTCCAACAAACTGTCTGACCTCCAGGATCAGTGGTTCACCGTGAAGACTCAGGTCAGTGAGAGGACTGCCATCTTGGAAGAGACTGTTGGGGAATGGGAGCAGTATGAGAAGGAAATGGCGGACATTGGGAAGTGGATGGAAGAAACCAAACACAGCATGCATTTGAAAGACACCACTCTGTCCTTGAAGGAGCAGCTTGCAGCACAGGAGGTTGGTCAATTACAGATTTGTTACGTGAACACTGCTGAGAGCAGATTTAAATATTGGTATTTTTGTATTAGGATGAAATGTTCCTGGATAAAGAATCCATTTTCATTCTTATCCTTTTGGTGATATTTTTGTATTTCATTGTGTTTTTTTTGTCAGGCATACTTTTTTGTACTTGAAAAAAAAATAGTTTGATAGCTAGGGTAGAGAATCTCTCTTCATTCATAACCTTTTGTTTTTTACAGAGACTGTTGTCAGACATTAAAAAACATGGCAGCAAAGCAAACACTATTCTAGCTCGCCATGAGGAGCTCCGCTGTATGGCTGGCGACTTCTCACCGACACGCGGCGCACAGCTCAGCACAGAGATAGCTAGACTGCAGAATGAAGCCAAGGATCAATATGAGAAGCTGGTATCAGCCATTGCTCAGCAAGAGAAATACGAGGCAGAAATTAGCCGCCTGACGCTGCTGATTACAGAGGCGCAGCAGAAGTTGACAACATCGCCAGTGGTGGCATCTAGTGTTGAGGGACTCAAGAAACAGATTGCTGAACATAATGTATGCTAACTCTTTGTAGCAAAGATTTTTTTCGTGTTTCTTTTGTCTCAACTGTTTGTGAATACAAACTTTGAAAAACATTTTATTTGATCTTCTGCCAAATCCAATAATCATTTTACAGTAATTGATTTCATATGTGCAATTTCAGGTGTTTTATTATTTTGTGCAACATTTGAGACAAAAAGACATATTTTATAAAACCTTTGTTATAAAGAGTTAACCTTCAAGGTGTAACACAACATAGTTTATGATACCAGAGGTTGTGATATTTGTTGACTGCTTGAGTTTCAAGTTAGTTTGCAAATGTCATGAATCTTAACTGTAAGCTAAAGGATGCATATACATTTCTCTATCTTTAAATTTCATAGAATAAGTTCTATTATTTATCATTACTTTCACCATATCTCTTTAAAATTAGTTCTTATTTTCTTGCAATTTTATCTTTTATATTTTAGTTATCTCGTTATGTTTGGAACTGTTCTCGTTTTAAATCTTATGTCACACTGAATGTATTCACTCAACTTTTTTCTTTTTTTCAGCAGAAACTTTAACATTTATCCCTTAGCAACTGGCACATTTTAACAAACTTTTGGTTCTTTTTCTTTTTCCAACATTTTGGTTTGTTCATTTATCTTTTTCAGCACTCATAATTACGTAGTTATGTGATCACTTTTTACTGGTACATGTTTTAAACCTAGTTTTTTAATGGCATACTAACTACATTACTAATTGGTTATAAAAATAATGAATTTTTTGTTTGCCTCTTTCATGTTTTATGTGTAGAAAACATTCTATTTTCATATTTTAAAATTCTAGGTTTGCCATATATTTCAAAACTAACAAGATTGAGTTATTTTATTGAATGTACTGTTGCTTCTATTATAACCCTTATGTAACAGCTGTTGTGTGTCTTCTTTTCTAGACTGCATTCTCTAGGTTAAAGGTGAATAAAGTGCATGAACTATGTGATGTTAATCTTGCTGCCCCAAAGCTGGCCTAGTTTGGTTTTGGGGTGCACTACGTTCAGTTTTTCTGCCCGTAATTTTGACAAAAATAAAACAGTTTTTAATTTTTTTCCCATGTAATTGATATTTTTAGACGGCGCTTTTTATTTACTTGTTGGAACTACTATTACACGTGCTGTTCCTAACTTACTTATTGTATGTGGCAGTTAACTCCAGTCTAACTATGGTTAATTGATAATTTTGCATGGACTTTTTGTTGTGTAAAAAGTATTTATTTGGCTTCACTGATATGATTTATCTCAAAGGATTTGTTTGACATTGTGATCTGATTTTGTGATTGAAATATTATTACTTAAAAATGATTATGCCAGGTTTTGAGTGGTTTTTAATCATGCTGTGTACCATTGAATTGCATTTGAAATCCATTGATTTGTCTTACTGTTTCAGAAAATATTAATAACCACGCTCTTGCCAAACACAAGAAGAACAGTGGTTCAGTTTGAGGGATATTGAAATCCATCTCAGTTGATGCAGTGTTTTGACTTTGATAGAATAGATGTCTTCATTATTGCTTTCCTCTAATATTACCTGTGATGTTTCATGTTATGTTTTATGTCATGTACATAAACTTCAGACCCTGACAGCCCAGATCAAGACCTACCAGGAGAAAATCAGAGAAATCAATGAGCAGAGCCTGCAGCTACAGGAGAGAACTCAGCAGATGAGTCCAACTATTCGCAAAAAGTTCAACTGGGGCTCTGAAAGGAGTCTGGCTAGCGATGAGACGGGCTTGATGTCCTCGTTGAGCTCAGAGTCCATAGCAACCAGAAAGACATCCCAGGGGCAGCCGCCAGGAGACTGGAAGGAGCATAGGACTGATAGTGGTATAATGATGACCCCTGAGGGCTCCATAAGCTCAAAGGAGACCCAGCGCAGAGGAGCCGATTCACTCAGACCTGGTGATGCTGGTGGGACAGCTTTGAGAGAAATGGTTGAAAGTGCCATGCACGGGAGGTCTAATACCCCAAGTGGAGGCTGGAGTGCCAGTTCTGCTGAAACAGTCCTAGAAAGACGAGCCCCAGACAGGGAAAGCAGTGGGAAAGGCAAGTCTCAAGAAATGGAACCACCTGAAAAGATTCCCAAGATCCGTGAAGTTGATGAGGATGTGCCAGATGCTGGGAAATCTGGCAAAAAATCTGATCGACAAAAATCCAAACACGTGACTGATAATTCTGACCAATTGAGCATCAAGTCTGATGACACTGACAATCTTCTGGAGGAGTACTCAAATGCTATGGCAGCAAGAGATATGACAGATGGTACTGTCAAGGACCCTGAAGCAGGTGAAGAACCAGTACCATCGGACTCACTTAGGAAAATGGTGGAAAGTGCCATGAGGGACAGAAAGAGTCCAGTACAAGAACAGTTGGTGACAGAAATTGAAGGAGCTAGAGCCATGGAGGTGGAAGAAGCTGAGATTTTCCCTCAGAAGAAGCCCCAACGTGCTCAGGTTGATACTGAAATCAGGGAAAGTCCTGACAAAGAAAATTTGGAACAACTCTTGTCACCAGAGAGGGTCCTTACTGTGCCAGAGGACACAGAATCATTGTCAGACCAGGTATGTTTTAGATTGTTGCCATGGTTTTTTCCACTGAATGTTATTTTTGTTTAGTATGAAGGTTGTCTAGGTACTATTCATATATATATATATATATATATATATATATATATATATATATATAAGTATCCCATGTTTTTTTAAGAATCATACAAATTTTGAACTTAGAAAAAAAATCATAAACATAGAAGATCATAGTACACTCAACATTTACTTGATTTTGAATCTACTTTGTCCAGATGAACTCTTTTGTAATAATGATCTTTAACCATGTGGATATTAATTTGATATTTAAATTCCCTTGAAGGCTTCTGTGAGTAGTGACCTTATGGCCACTCTGGGTAGTCCGGTGAAGCCAGCTGACCTGACTGTGTCCACTCTGGGAGAGACCACCATGGGGGATGTATCTATGAGTGCTAGTGGTCCAGGCTCTCCAAACAAAATGGCTCAACTGGCAGAACTCAATTCCTCCTGGAACTCTCTCCAGGTTCAAGTATGTGGAACTGTATCACCTGATAGGTCATATGTCATTGAGAAATCAGTTGTGTTATATGTGGATTGTGTAATTCTTTAGTATTGTCTCTCAAATCCCATATACATACCTTCAACTGTGGATTTAAAGAATAAGTAAATTGATGTCATATGATATAATACAGAAGCCATTACTTAAGAAAGGCTCCAAGGTATTTACGGATTTAGTATAAATATGAAAATTAAGTATTAATTGATCTTGCCTTTTCTCCTTATTTTGGTGAGAGAAGCAGCAGCTACAGGTGGCTCTACTATATTTCTTGGGGTTAACAAAAATATGAAATTTGATATAAATTCTTTAATTCATTCCTAAGCTTGGTGTCAAGGAGCAGCAGCTGCAAGAAGCCCTCCATAAACAGGAACAGTATCAAGACGCCCTGCAGGATGTCACCAGCAACATTGAGCAGGTCAGGCTACAGGTGGATGCCCTGTCACCTGAGACCACAGAGGACCTGGAGAGTATGGTGACACAGTGTCAGGTGAGGTCTGGGCAGGGAACACTTTGAAGGGGCAGGGCAGGGGGGTATTCAGGATCATTAGGCCATCTTTCTTGTGTAGTTTTGACATTTGTCATTATACATAAATATGCATATATGTCCGAAATGCCTGTAATGACATATTGTAGAATGTCCTTGTGCATATGTTGGTCTTCATTCTGCTTTTTCTTATCCACAAATTTTCAATGTTTACCTATATAATAATTATCCTTTTGTTTATTTCTTCTTTCAAACAAAAAAAATTCTACAGGTTTTGATGACACACATAGAGGAAATAAAGACAAAACTGGCCGGAGTGAGATCCCTGGGTCAGCAGATGTCCAGTAGCTCAGAGCCAGAGGGGCCTCGAGTCATGCAAGCCACACTGGTGGTACTGACCGATAGACTGGAGTCTCTGCAGTCTATGACCAGAACAAGGATGAGACAGACAGAGGTAAAACAGAGCGATGAAGTGTTCCTATCTTTATCAGGCCATGATTTAATAGAAGATTGTTATAGCCCAGAAGTGATCTTTAAAATCTTTGTAGAATTTAGAATTTTTAGTCAAATTTGAGTTAAGAAATTGTGCAAGAAGTATGCACTACAATGTTGATTTTTTAGTGATAACTTATTACATAGAAATACATGTAAAAACGTGTGTATTGACAGATGAAGCTGCATGACCAGCAGAAGCACCAAGCAGACTTACAAGAGTACCAGACAAACATAGAAGAATTCGATGAATGGTTGACCACAGCCAGACTGGAGAATTCAGATGAAGCGATGACAGACCCAGATACTGCCACTTTAAAACAGCAACTTGAGAAAAATAAGGTATTGGCAGTTTTCTTTTTTTTTTCATTTTTTATTCGTATCTTGAAAGGGTAATAGCCATTACAGCACAGTAACATTTTGAAAACATATATTTGTTATAATATGATTTTGGGATTGTGCAAAGTAAGTGCCACAAATATATGAATATGTCTACATTTGCTTTGATCAGTAAATTTAAAAGGCAGTCTCTTAACTAAGGTTTCCATATTATCATTTATATAGAAACTAAAAAGTCAAATTATTTTTGTTTAGAACTTGCAAGCTGAAGTAAACAAACGCCTCCAGCAGCTCTCAGACATGGCCGTCCAGTGTGAAAGTCTCATGGAGCTTGGGTCTTCAGAGGGGGCTACAGGACTGAGATCCAGGGTGTCCGAACTCAAGGCACAGGTGACGGAGTTCAAACTGCAGATCATTGATGGCCAAAGACAGATTAAGGATAAAATCAGAGATGTAGAGCGCCAGGCACTTTCTGCTGAGGAGGAGAGTTCCATGCAGGAATTACAGCAGTGGATGGAGGACACTCGCAGAATGACGCTGTCTCCAAAGAAGGATGAAACGGGTCCTAAGTTGGTGGAGGAGAATTACCAATTGCAACAGGTAAGAATGTATAAATGCTTAATGTATTTGTAGTTAAAACATGTCTTACATCTTTCATATTTGTTGTCCTCTTTCAGTATTTTGTAATGTTTCTATTTTCAGTAGCATAACAATATTTATGTAAAAATAATTCTGTGGCTTATCTTCAGTCTTCAACTTACAATTTAGAAATAATTGTAATTGTGTAAAAACCAGCAATTAGTTATTATGGTTCAAACATTTGTATGTGATTTATTACAGCAACTTGAAACAGACCTTGCCAAACATCAGAGACTGATTCGTTCCGTGTCCACATCTGGTGTAAACTATGTGGAGCCCAAGGATGCCCCATTTGAGGCAAGAGCAGACGTCGTCCAGGCCAACTGGGACAGGTTAGCCAAGATGGCTGCTGATAAGAAACAACAAGCAGAGGAAGTTATAAATAGGGCTAGAAGTGAGGTGGGTTTGATTGAAAATCATTTTTTTGCCCTGATATTTGTAAATTGATTAGTGAATTTGATTGTTTTTGAATATTAATTTTACTTACTAAAATAAAAAAAATAAAAAAGAACCATATAAAACTACAGTAGTTTCACTGAATGTGATTGGTACAATTAATTCATATATCCTTAAATTAAATACCTGTGTTTCATGTTACTAGGGCAAGCCATTGGCTATCTACCAAAAAGGTCAGAGGTCAGTTCATGAGCCAGGCACCACAACCAAGACAGAGGAAGTAAAGATTGGAATGCTTGAGTTGACCCAGTGCTGGGAACGTCTGCAGCGACCTGACCAGGATGATGAAACCCGCTCTGAACGTCTGCTCCAATTCCAGCGTCAGTTCCAGGAGACCATTTTAACTTTGTCCGAGTGGATGGACCTCATTGAGGTGAAATTGTTCGCAGTGGACCATGACAGGACAGCTGAGGAACAACTTAAAGAGAATGAGGTATGTCTTGATCACAGGAATTGATTCCTAGTGCCATCTGGTGGACAAAGTGTGAACTCCACCTCTGGCAGGGTCAAAGTCCATCTTGTAACAAACTACTTTTTTCTCACATTGTGAAAAAAAAACTTCATTGGGTTCAGACTCCTGTATTTGCTAAATGTTCACTATTGAATATATGCAGAATATCATCAAAATTGTTATCAAAATTGGTGCCTTGTGCTCATTATGCTCAAATAAGAAATGTTTAAGTACCTTGGATATGAAATTACTTTAAAGGTTTTTTTCTTTTTGTAGTCTGTCATGAAAGAACTGCGCTCAGTTCAGGAAGATGTGAAAGAGCTTGGGAGAACTTCACACCACATTCTCCCTGAAGTTGGCGAGGAAGAGAAGCAGATGGTCAAGGTGACAATGGAGAACATGGGCAAACGTCTGCAAGTCCTGGAGAGAAGAGGATATGACCAGGAGCAGGAATTGATGGAAAAGACAAGGAAATGGAAACATTATCAAGTAAGACCAAGTACATGATTCATGAATTTATGATTTATTTGCTAATACTTTTTAAAGCTTGACATAAGAAGACCAAGAAAAGAGTTGCATATTGTCATATCAGAAAGAATATTTCTATTTATACCATGTTGTAAGATGTCAATGCTCTATATTTCAGACTGAAGTGAAAAGTCTGCAGAGCAAGCTTACAGAAACCAGGCGGCATTTTATTACTTCTGCTCAAAGTGTGGCTCCTCTTGAACAACAGCTGGCTGAGATCAAGGTAAGCTAGCTTTATATACTCTTATCATTATGTCATGTATTTCAGATGGAAATGGAATTTTAAGGGGAAATCCTCAATTTGCCTGCTCCTCTTTATGTCAGGTGTCATATACACATTACTCTAACTTAGTAAAGCATATATATTGCAGCTATTATGATAGATATGTATAGCTAATTTTTACTTTAAGAAATCATTTAAAACATTTGTAATTGCATGTATCAAATATTGTTTGTCCATTTGCATGATTTCCGTAGAAGGAAGAGCCAGTAAGGAAACAATTTTTGATTTGAATAGTTTTTGTGATGTGTTTTATATTTAGTGTCAGACATTTTACGTGCTTTGAATATGTGAACATTTTTCTTTTGAATTATACTGTGCTCATTTTCTTTAATCAGTCATTTTAGATTTTGCAGCTTTTTTTACATTTTCAAAGTTCCTTCAGTCTACTTTTAATTTTTATCTGTGTTAGGTGAATCTTTTTGTGGAGAAATTGATGTTTACAATATATAATTTATACATATGAAATCAGTGCACAGCATGGTGCTACTTACATATAAATATAAATTCCAAGACTGCATAAATTAAGTGAGAAAATTCAGGGCAGCAAAGAGATAAAACTTATTTGAAAATTGCTAAAATTTTAACAAGGGTCACCTGGAGTTGGATTTTATATTGTGTAATTGCAAACTTCAGAAACTTGAAGACAGTATCAAGCAGTACGAACAGAAACTCCACAAACTAAGTCAGGAGGGAGAGGAGCTGAGTGAGGGAGATCCCAGAGCCATTCTGCCTGTAGAAATGAATACACTTCACACATCCTGGCAGCAGTTACAACAGCAGGTATTTAAAACCCTCCTTTTGTAAATGTTGCAACCAAAAACTCCTGAGTCTTATTTGTTGTTTGAAGAATCTTTTATTATAAATTTTTTTCAAGACATTTTAAATCATAATAAATAAGATGAAAAATAATTCTGTGGGCATGATTGCTTGACACAGCCAAGGGACTACATCTTCTTTACCTAAATAAGTTTTGTACAGACAACTTTAGCTTAAACTCTGCTTCCATCATTAGGCAACTGAGAGGAAAGCTCAGCTCCAGCGTGCCATGACAGTGCAGAGTCAGTATGAGAAGATGATTCAGGAATACGCGGAGTTTTTAGACACAGCTCAAGACAAACTACGTGCAGACACCCTGGCAGCATCGGATCTGCAGCATCTGGCTCAACAACTGAAGGCACACAAAGTAAGTGAAAGAGATACATGAATAGGAAATAATTTTAAGGTTAAAAGAGTTATGAATTGTTATTACTATCTTATTTACATACAAAAAAATCAAGCAGTGGTCCCTGTAAATACTCCTGTTATTTTTAGTAAATTTTTAGTAAAAATGATTTTTAGCACAAATTTGAACTATCTGCACATTTGTAGGCTCTTTACATGTGCTTGATATGTATAATAATAATGATATACATTATTAGATTATCTTTTATAAAAAATCATAGAGAGTAAATTTGAATTGGGATAATAGCTCATTTCAATTTTTTTGTCATTGACAGGAATTCTTCAGTGACTTAGAAGGGCATAGGTCTATGCTGGACGCATTAGCACAGAAAACTGACAAAGCAACTCGCCAGCGCTACTTCAGCATGCACACGCGTCTCATCAACTTGACCCACATTGTCCAAGATAAGGCCAGCCTGCGAGGACAGCGTATCGAGCGCATTGTGGAAGAATGGGCCCAATTTGAGGACCAGTTCAATCAGACAAACGAGTGGTTGTTATCTTTGGAAAAACAGTCTCCAGTTCGTACCACTGGCGATGAGACGGCGGCCATTAGACAGCACCAGTTTGTGCAGAAGAGACTGAACGATGAAAAGGCGGCAATGTACCAAGTTGTTGAGAAGGGCAAGCAGCTGGCGCAGAGGGTGAAGTGTCCTGCTCTGGAGACCAATGTGGCTACATTTGCTGAAAGATGGGTTGCAATCAACAATGCAACCAATCAAGAACTGAAATGGTTAGTGAAGATAAAGTTGTGTGTATGTGTGTAATTCCCCTTTCCCAATGTGTCCATCATTAGATGTATTATAATATTATATAATTTAATCAATTTTTATGTTATGGTGATAATTTGTGATTCTGCCTTAATTTAATAAGCTACCAGTATTTCAAAGAATATATAATTTCCATAGCTTAATAGAGGGTATTATTATTATTATTATTATTATCACAGGCTTGAGGTACTTCTGGACCAGCAGACAACATTTGACCATGATGCAGGCACTCTGGAAGAATGGCTGGCCACAGCCAAGGAAAAGGCAGGAGAGTTTGTCTTGAAGGATGAAGATGTCAAGGATATTGGAGCAATACGTGGCTATATTGATAGGTTCCTGGTAAGATTGGAATTTCTAGTGCACATGTACTAAGATTACTTTCAGTGTAACAACAGGTGTGAATTCTCTTCATAGTTAGAATAAAGTGTTAAATTGCTCTGTGGGCATTTCTAGTACTGTTACTTCGTGACTGACATTGATGAAACAAGTAAAAGCATAAAATTTGTCGGTCTTATAGATTTTGATACACTTATTCATTGTTTATTTATTTATTTGATTGAATCATGATTGATTTGTTTATTTATTTATTTGATTGAATCATGATTGATTATCAATTCTGAGATTAAATAATAAAGTTTAAACTTTTGTTTTACAGGAATTTAGAAAAGAGGTTGAACATCAGAGTCCATTGAAAAATAAGGTGATGCTAACTGGTAACCAGATCCTAAGGACGAGAAAGACAGACTCCAGTGGTCTTCTGCAGAGATTAAACAGTATTGAAGAATCCTGGCTCCAGCTGACCACTCAGTTGACCAGTTGTGAAGATAGGCTTCACCAGGTAGCTGCCGTCTGCTGTTGTTTTTCATCTTTTTTGCCAGTCAAATTTTCTGTTAAAGTGTGTAACTTGTGCACGTTTTGGAGTTGACAAGCTTTAGGGATCAGCTGTCAATCCTCATTAAATGTTCTTTTTTTTTATGTCCAACTTGGGCAAGCGTTTATGGTTATAAGTTATTATGTCCTAATTTAATAAGCTTTCAGTATTTGTGGAGTTAATTTCAAGTGCTTTATTTATTAATCATTCATAAGCTTAGAATTTGATTATTTCCTATTTCTATTTCTCCATCCTAGGCTCAGATGGAGTTAATGCCATCCCGTCAAGCTCTGTCCGAGCTCCTCATCTGGATCAGCGGACTGGAGAAAGTCCTCAAAGATGACAAGAACATACCACTGGACAGTGCTCTGGACACCAAGATCATGCTGACCAAATACCGCGGCTTCAAGGTGGACATCTCCAACAAGCAGCTCACAGTGGACTTTGTCAATCAGTCTGCTCTGGAGATGAGTATACGCGTCCCTCACGGTCACCAAGCAGAGAAGACAGATTTTGCAGAAAAATTGGGTCAGATGAACAGGCGCTGGCAGGCTGCAGCCAGTGATGTGGCAGAGAGACTGAAGACGTTAGAAATGCTACAAGTCAGATGGGAGGAGTATGAGAAATGTGTCAAAGGATTGATGGAATGGTTCGATGATCAGGAGAATAAGATCAAGAAGTATCATCGGATTGGTCACGAGATCAGCATACGTCAGACTCTCAAAGACTGCAAGGTAATCAGACAGTTATTATAGAATGGTTTCTGAAATAATGCAGAAGCATCATATATAGGTATAAGACATGTCACATTTGCATTTTAACCAGCAAATTTTATTCAAAGCAGGTAAAAAATGGTCCATACATTTAGTCTATATTTAATACATATTATTTGTCTCATATAATCCTACTTTTTCATTTTAGTCACTTGAAGAACAACTCAAAGTAAAAGAAGACGAGATAGAATCAGTCAAGAAGTTAGGCTTGAGTCTCATGGAGTCCAGCAAGGGCTCCTCTGACAGCATCCATGATGTGAAGACCACAGTGGACAAGCTGAACCAGCACTGGGCTTGCCTTGACCACCAGGTGTGCCAGGTCCAGAATGTCCTGGAGGACACCTTGAGACAGTGGGAGACTTACCAGGCCTCACTTCAAGTGGTCAGCCAGCTGCTGACCGAGACAGAGTACCTGCTCAGCCGATACAATGTGGTCAGTGGCGATGCAACCACGTTCAAGAGTCAGCTGTTAAGACTTAAGGTGGGGATAAGAACCAAGTTTAAAGTGTTGCATTTGTTGGAGCCTTTTGTAAAAGTAACTTCTATTGTTTGAATAGTTTGCTTGTTTGTCTGTTTCCTGATAAAGATCATCATAATAATTATGCTTAAATGTTCAAGGAAAGAAAAAACTCATTTATATAGGAAAAAATGCATCTTAATCAAATCAAATTTCTTTTGAAAAGATAATGGTAAAGTTATAACATAAATTTAAATGGTGTCTTATCACATTTTGTTTAGTTTAGAACTTAAATTGGGCATGGTTATCAACATATTCTTGTTGAACCCAATGATTTTCCTTTACAGGGAATGCAGAAAGAGTTTGATCAACAAGGAAGCAAACTGAAGCAGTTCCTTGACGATGGGGATCAGCTTATTAAAGTATGTGAGCCATTTGTTACCCAAGGACTGCAGAGAGCTGTCACTGACGTTAAGAGCAGGTAAGTATCTTTTAGAAGCATCTTTTATCTGGTTGAGTCTTTTCACCTGAGGCAAAAAGCCAACTTTATCTTCTAACATTTTACGCATCTGGGCTTTTCAGTGAAGGGCATTTCTGAACAGTTATTTAATAAGTGCTTTCCTCAATCCTCTACATCTTTTGATACATGCAAACAGTGCAATGGACATCAGCTCAATTTCTGAATGGTAGCCAATTTCAAGAATTATACTGCAAAATGCTATATCATTTCTACACTTGATTGGGAAGCAAACAAGGTATTGTAGGTTTTAATAACCTGAACTTCTTTATCTTCACAGATGGGATAGTTTAGTGTCTCAGCTGCGCACAAGAGTGTCCAAGTATGAAGGCATCCTAGAAAAATGGCAGAAATATGAGGCAGACTACACCAAGGCCAAGGACTGGGTGGAGAAGAAGGAAATCCAGTGTAATGAACTTCTGCTGCTGAGAGAGGAGGCGGAGGACAAGGATGGCCATCTTAACAAGAGCAAGGTCAGTGGTATCTTTAAGTTATGGAGGAAAGTTATGAGGTTGAAGTACTGTCGTGGAATTAAGATGACTGTTCAATGTACTGGTAGAAGGTAAAAATTGTTTTCAACATTATCCAACTAATGACATAATGTACTATATTGTGAAGTGCGTTTTATGTTTACTTTGTGCAGGATGAGTCTCAACCCTTCTCTCTATGTACTTATAGTAACATAATCCACAGTAATGGTATTGTGCCAGAAATTATAATTATGTAAAATTAAATAAATCTAATGTAGTACATGATAATTAACATAGGAATGTTTTAATTGTATATAGGAACTGAAGCAAGAACTGGACAATTTCCAAACATCCTTGTTGACCCTCAACAAAGCGAGTGACCAGTTGACCAAAAACATGGACAACACCACCATCATAGGCATCACGTCTCGTGAGACTGCCCTCAGCCAAAGAGTGTCCACGATGAGACAAGCTCTCCTGAAACACACCCATAACCTGCAGAACGACCTGTCACAGCAAAGGAGATTTGATGACCTGATTGAAGTGATTCAGGAGTTCTTCAACGATGCCGAAAGAGTCTTAGAGGAGGAAGACCCTAACAAGTCTGCCGATGAAGACACCTTGAAAGATAGGCTAGAGGAGCTAAAGGCTTTGAATGTACAGTTTAACAACTACCAATCGAAGCTGGACAACCTGAACAACATGGGCTATCGCCTGCCCCTGAGCAAGAAGAATTCGGAGAAATTGAAACAAACCAATCAGAAATGGTATAAGATGTTTGCAGAGACGTCTGAGAGATATCGCACCATGCAGGGTCACATGTTACTCCACCACGACTTCCAGCAGAAGTGCGATGCATGGATGACTTTCCTGGCTCAAGCAGAGCAGAACTTGGCAGTGGATATTGCTGGAAATTATGAAGGACTTTTGGAGCAGCAGAAAATATATGAGGTATATATTCAGTGCTTTTCTTATAGCAAAGTTATCTTGTACATGCATGTAGTTCTGTTGATGAACCATTTTTTTTCTGATTTCTTCAAGTTAGGTATGATACTAGTGCTACTTTTTTACAAGAAAAGTATACTTGATTTATATGCTTTAGTTTGAGATAATTCTGCATTTTTAAAATAATTGGTAATGCATTTAAACAATTTTCTTCTCAGTTGACTTAACCTTCTTTATAAATATGAGAAATATAAATTACAAATAAATTCCTGTTATCCCTCCAGCTGTTCCAGTCAGAAATCTACTCTAGACAACAAATCCTGCAGTCCATCATCAGCGATGGCCACCAGATGATGAGAGACAGCGATTCAGATGAACGCCAGGAATTCCAGAGGAAGCTCTCCATGTTGGACCAGCAATGGCAGAGTGTTGTCAGGAGAACCAATCAGAGGAAGGCTATTATTGACCACAACATTTCCCATTGGCAAATGTACAAGACTCTTAGAGAGAAGCTGTCTAATTGGCTTGATGAAATGGATGAGAACTTGAATATATTTGAATTTAGTACAGCTACACTGCAGAAAATCAAGGCTTTGATTGAACATTTGAGAGTAAGTGATAATGAAATATGAGGCAAAAGATGACTCAAACATTATATGATTATTCTGTAGGAAATTCATCTGTGTAGTCTGTTATTAACTTGGTTATAGCTTTAATTTTAGTGCAGAAAGTGAAAAGTTAAATTTTATGTATTATTATTATCTTAGAATAACTAAATAAATATTGCCATTTCCAGAAATGTATGATAATCATAGATAGAACCAACACACGTCCTTTTACTCTGGTCTTGAAAGTATGGAGACATATCAAATAAAGCCTTTTAAATGCCCATTATTATAATCTATTTTCAGGCCACTCAAAAGGACCTTGCCATGCATGAATCAATGTACCAGCGTGTACACGAGGCTGGCTGTCTGCTGGTCAGTATCTCTGATAAGACCACCGAGTCCACCATACGGTCACATCTGACAGACATCCAGCAACACTGGTTCCAGATCATAGGCAAGCTGGACGGCAGGAGAGAACACCTAGAGGGCATACTAAAGCAGTGGCAAGGTTGTGAGGAAGGCATTGAAGACATCCTTGCATGGCTGAAGGAAATGAGAAAAGCCTTGAATGTAGGGCTGGCGCAGAATTACGATGATCTCCAGCGGCAGTTGCAGCAGTGTGTGGAGTTCGAAACGGCCTTCGCCAATGCGGCAGACAAAAGGAAAATTCTCCTGGAAAAAGAACACCAGCTGGCGCTAGTGGTGTCACCAGATGATCTGACAATTCTGCGCCAGAGAATTGTCCTACTTACCAAACAGTGGGATGAAATAGCTAACCAGATTGTACTTCGGAGAAATTGTATTGAAGATCGTCTCAATGAGTGGACACTGTTCAATGATAAATACAGGGAGATGTTGGACTGGCTTTCCTATATGGAGGCCAAGGTGTCTTCCAACCAAGAGTTCCATATTGAAGACATACTGGAGAAATTGCAAAAGGTAGGCACACTTACAGATTTTAAAGATGATTTTACTATTTATGTGCTGTATTATTTGAAATTTCATTCATCTACATTGTTGCTTTCTTCTTAAGGTCATAATTTTGTAAATTTTGAAATGTTGTTTTTCAGTATAATTTTAATTTCTGCACATTTTTTTTGTATCATTATGTTACAAGTAAGATAATTTCACGATTACACCAGACATTGTAATGGCACTAGAGGGTTAAAGACCTAGTTGTTCAATGCTTATTATTATTTTTTTCTTCTAGGACTATAAAGAAGAGATCACAAACATGCAGGTTAACCGTGATGATCTGTTTGCACATGGCCACCGTTTGATCAAATCCAGCAGTGAAGTCAGAGCCAACGACATTGAGTACAAGATCAGCAAGCTGAGAGACAGGTGGCAGAGGTTACAGGAATTGGTGACAGCCAGGTAAACAGTTCTTACCTGTATAAAGAAACACACTGTCAACCATTGGATTAGATTGGTGACAACAATCAGAACAGCTCTTACTTTTTTATTATGTACTCATCATTTGAAAGCCATGTATTGATTCTTGTGGGCTGTTTAGGATGAAGAACCGGAAAAAAGTTCTGTAGAAATTCTAAAACATGACCAACCAATTTCATAATAAGTAATATTGACATCAAAGATGGTAATTACATTCTACCTGTGTCTTCAGATTGAAGAAACTCCAAGAGACCTTAACAGCGGTCCAAGAGTTAGAGAAGAGTATGGCCAGCTTGAGACGTTGGCTGGCGTATATAGAACATGCTTTGAGTAGCCCGGTCTCGTACCAACAGGCTGACCTCACCGAGATACACAGAAGATTACAGCAACAACAGGTAACACCAATTGAATAACTTTTACCTACCTCTGATATATGATATTAAATACTTGGTCAGGAATAAAATTCATGTCATGTTGAATATTATTTTTTTTAAGAAAATAAGTATTGGTAATTGTAGAAATGTTAAATGTAACTTTTTGAAAGAAAGAATTATTGGTTCTTAGAAAAATTGTTTCCTTTTTTATTTATTTTCTATTATGGTTTAGTGGATATTTAATTTCTGACATATTTTTTCCCACAGGAACACCAACAGGACATAGAGCGACACAGTGCAGGTGTGGCCTCCGTCCTCAACCTGTGCCAAGTGTTACTTCACGACACAGACGCCTGTCCCACTGATGTAGAGGTCTCTGCATTACAACATGCCAAGACAAGCCTGGACAGACGATGGAAGAACATCAGAGCACTTTCTACAGAAAGGAGAATGAGGTAAAAACTATTTCTTTGTTCTTTTCATTTTTTGTAAGAAAGTGAAATGAAGCACATTTATTTTCTGTATGGGGATTTAGAGTACTATCCAGCTGTCTTTAGTAATTCAGTATTTAAAAAATTTCTAACATTTCTTTTGTAATATTTTAATGCACCTTCAACTTCAAGTTTTAATTTAGCCCCTAATGCATTTATATCTTTTCAAGTTATTTCCTACCTAGATGAACATGTATTGCCCAAATCGATAACATAGAATATACGTTGCTAATTCAGAATTGAAGAAACATGGCGGCTGTGGCAGAAGTTCAGTGAGGATTACCATCGTTTTGTGGATTGGATGAAAGACATGGAGAAAGCCACCACAAAGCCAAGATCAGCTTCTGTAACATTTGCTGAAGCCAAGGAAGAACTCAGGAAGTTTGAGGTAAGATTGATAAAGGGTTGATTCAAAGAAATTCCCAAGATGTTAACAAATTCTATACCCTTACAGAACGTAAAATATTGCCGGAGTATTCCCGGAGTATAGCAGGAGTACTCCGGCAACATAAAAATGTTGCCAGAAAGTATCCCCACTGGCTAGCCGCTAGCAGCTTATCTGCGGCTATATACAGTGCATGTTGCCGGAGGTAAGCCGCAGGGTTGCCAGAACCTAGCCGCTAGCGGCTACATTCTGGCAACATGCCTTGTATGTTGCCACAAGGTAGCTGCTAGCAGCTTATCTGCGGCTACATATAGAGCATGTTGCCGGAGGTAAGCCACAGGGTTGCTGGAAGCTAGCCGCTAGCAGCTACATTCCGGCAACATGCCCTGGATGTCGCCACAGGGAAGCCGCTAGCGGGTTATCTGCGGCTATATACAGAGCATGTTGCCAGAGGTAAGCCGCAGGGTTGCCGGAAGCTAGCCGCTAGCGGCTACACTCTGGCAACATATACACACTGTACATTTGCATGAAGACGTACACTTTTCTTGTATTATGTATGATATGACAGCATTGATGTTTATTTATGATTTGTTATTTATTCCTATAGCAGGATGCTTTATGGCTTATTTTGGCTATATAATCGGACTATCCAGAAGTGTCAACAGCCATAAAGTTGTTCTGTTTGAAATAAATCATACTCAGAAATTTTCACTTTCAAGCATTCTAAGAAATTGTTTTTATTTATATGGTTTTTAAGAATAACATTTGGAATTGAACATGTAGTGCATACATATTAGGCATTATTTATATATATATATACAAGTTATATATGTTCATGGTGATATATTCTTTCTCATCTATGCTTAGTGTGTATATATGTGGGTCCATCCACATGCAGTTTAAAAGTTCCAAAAAGGTGGTCAAAACCATTTCATCAACGTTTTTTATCCAGTATAATAATAATAATAAATAAAAATGCATTTAACTTTCTGTGTTACATAAAAATGTGTTTAGTTTTGTATATTATAATTTGCATGCTGTGACAGTATGAATGCATGTACTATTTTTTTGTATGCCATACCCAAGGTCACATGTACTGTTGCGTATGAATACACTACTTCCTGTGAAAAGTAGTTCCATTTCATCAAAAATGGTCGTCTGCTAGTTTTATTTGCAAAGAACCCACAAAGTCAGGAAAATAAGGTATCATCCAAAGTACTTCAACATTTAATTTATTTGTGTGTGTTAACAACAAACTGGTGATGAAATGTATTTGAATCTAGAAGTGGTAAGACATCGAGAAACTTGACAAAGTACATTTGAGAATTTAGGTATATCTATAGCTTTCATGAACAGCTACAAGATGAAGAATATGAAGAATTGGACTGTTCTGTTGTGAGATTTGAGTTGTTCTTTACTGACAAATGGACAAGAAGTTCTAAGAAATGAGTCATTAGAATGGAAGTCAACTATAACTAACAAAATATGTATATGGAATCAGAATCAAATATACAGCTATAACATATGGCTATCATGCACTTAAATGGTACGTATATACACATGTGTGTAGCAGGAAAGTGGCAATTTTAAGAATGTATGGCTTGATGAAGCACTAGGTATCAGTTAGATTAACAATTTTCCCCATGGTGAAAAGTGAGTATATATAGATGCATAGGGATCAGCAGCTTTTATTTGCCATATGTTAATTGGATATTTAAATTTTAGGGCCAATTTTGTTTTTCTTTCTCAATGAGTTTTTCTTTTATAAATTTGATTGAAACTATAGTAAACAAAGAAATTAAATTTTATGTATCTTGCTTATAGTACTTAGATAGCATTGTTCATACATATTTAAACCTGTATAAATGAGTCATGTAAATTCAAATATATATTTATACATATATTTAACATACATAAACCACTCTAGAATTAAGCTAGCTAGGATTATAATTAAATGAACCCATCTCACAAACTTCTGAGAACAAGATTAATTCAATGTTTTTTGAAAAACTCAAAAATTTCAATTTTTTGCATTGATCTGTTTGCATGTATCAACATTTTCCATTTCTAAGTTAATTAATTTTGCAGACTTTTTTTCAGTTTTTAGGATCAGTTTCAGTACATAATGAAGGTCTAGCAGCACGTAGTATAACTGTGTTGATAAATTAGCCTNATGTACAGACACATCTGTGTCTGTACATAAAAAACAGCATAAATTCCCTATAAGTGACCCGATCATGCTGATTTTCGAACTTGACCTACGTATTATGAATATTCATCAGTTCTGTAAGTTTCAAGCCAAAAGAAAAAAACAGTTTTCCACTTATCGTGTTATTGGTAAAAGTGCACGGCGACGAAGGCAACGACGGCAACGGCGACGACAGACGCAGATGACGGCTATATGTACAGACACATCTGTGTCTGTACATAAAAAAATCCTAGTGCTACCCCAGTTATACATACATTTAACATACATAAACCACTCTAGCTGCTAGGATATTATAATTAAACCCCTCTCTGAGTCTCACAAACTTCTGAGAACAAGATTAATTCAATGTTTTTTGAAAAACTTAAAAATTTCAATTTTTTGCATTGATCTCTTTGTATCAACATTTTCCATTTCTAAGTTAATTCATTTTGCAGACTTTTTTCAGTTTTTAGGATCAGTTTCAGCACATAGTGAAGGTCGAGCAGAGCTATAACTGTGTTGTTTAATTAGCATATATCCAATGACTAAGACTGTTTTAGATCTTTTAAACATTTTTAAGGGAAACAATGCATTGTTTTGTAATTATATATATATATGGATATTGGCTATATATTATGCCAGTAGTGCATTTCCAAATTTGTTTTCTGATCATTTATTACTTTATTTATTCATCCAAAGAGTCATGTAAATTGGTTTATGCATACATGTATTGTTCGGTTATGCAATACACTATGAACTAAAATTTATTTTGTGTTCAAGACTTACAAGTTGATTGTTTGAGTTGTACATGGTGTAAAAACATGTTTCTGAAAAGTTTTACAACTCGCTTGTGTAATTTTTGTCATGACAGTTGTTTCGCTTTGGTACAAATAAAGAGCTTCTAGGCACTGAACTTGTGAAAGGGTCCTATAGCTAAGATGTTACGTAAATTGCCCTTGATTGATCAATCTAATTGTATTTACATTGGTTTTGGGATCTGTGAAGTAGCTAGCTGTAACATACTGCCAGAGTACCCCCATAACATATGTTACTAATGGGAGTGCTCCTGGAGTACCCCATTTTATCATGCAAATGAGTGTTGCCAGAATATCCCCATAAATGTTGCTGGAGGTTTGCGGGAGTACTCCAGCAACACTCATTTGCATGATAAAATGGGGTACTCTTGGAGTACTCCGGCAACATATTTGCGGGAGTACTCCCGTAACCAGTGAAAAAGAAATATTCAACTTTCTAATGGGGTCTGTAGAGATGGACATTATATATGTTGTAGTACAATATTTAGGTAGCTGTTTAAAACTTAGGGATAAGTTGCTCACTATCCAGAACACTAGTTAACATAATCCCTGTGTGTCATTAGCAAAGTCGGGATGGATAGATAGTATGGGTTAACGAAATGCTACACACATAAAAACTACTGTAGCTGGATATATAACATATATAATTATTTATTTATTTCTCATTGTAATTGTGCGTCATTATTGCTAGTAGTGTTATGGTGCCTTGTTATAGTTGGATGTCGGTCAGTAAAATATCCATTCTTAGGTGTAAGTTTAATTCGTATGTTCCATGTAGTTTTTTTTTATTTTTATTTATTTTTATTTATTTTATTTTATTTTATTTTTTAATCTATTATGTCTAGTATTGTATTTCTGTGACCATTTTATATTTGCTTGTACGCTATCGATGATCTGTACCTTGTATGTTAAGGTTCATTATGATCAATAAACATTCCTTACCATTGCCGGAAGCCTATTTTGTCAGTAAGGGAACACTGTGACTACAAGCTTTGGAAAATTGTTTTGCTTGGCAAACCATACCTTTTAGTTAATAGGAAATTAAATTAGCTGCATTAGTTTTGGAGTTTTTCATTAATACCCTTGACGCCTTAATATTACTTAATATAACCCATTGTAGCCCTCGTCATCAAAACAAACGGCAGCCATACTGGAGGGAGACCGGAATCGTCCGCTGAGCATGATCATGTCTACATGTACAATTTAGTATTTAATTTCTGTGTTTTCTTTGATATTAAACCGAGTAAAATGATGAATTACTGCAGGGTATATGATAGAGAGAAGATATATAACTAGCTTTACAAGCGTTCACAGACTGCCTGCAGTGGTAACAATCCAAGGCGTAAGGACGAAAATCGTAAACGGAGGAGAGACCGAGGAGTGGCTTTGAATCAAGACTCATAGGACAAGTAAAGGATAAAACTAATTTATTTTACAGCAAAGAATGAAGACCCAGCTGTGCAGTCTTTACCATAAAAGAAAAAAACACAGTAGAAAACCAAAGACCGAGGTGTATAAGTTTGGAGCACACGTACACTGCATGTTAGTAGTGCCCAAAAAGTTTGGGTGGAGAGTGTGTTGTAAAAACGTGTGGAAATACCCAGGCAGGGTTTCTACTTTCATCATGAAGACTCACTTATTGCCTTGGGTGTAATTTGTTATCAGTTATGGTGCTGTTCGGATTTTATCTGCTGTCATCTACCTCTTTAATACCTGGTTAGCATTATTGTCAGTTAGTGTCAAGGCTACAGCACAATGTACATTTGCACAGAGCTCAGCTGGGCCAATTAAATCAATTACCTGTGTCATGTGTATTTGGAAGTTAGTGGCTTGATTTTAGATTTGGTGTAGTATTAAGAGTAAATCTGTTTTGTAAGTACAATGTATATAATCTAGCTCAGGTATCATTTAATTGACATATAACTTAATGAAATGAATTTGAAAAATGTTAAATTCTGTGTTTTCCTACTGTATTATGTTGCAAGTTACAATATGAATAAAAATAACTATTGTTACCTTTTTTTTTGTTAATTTACATTTAGGAAATTGATCTGGCATTTTCCCACCAAGCCACACTGAATGATTAGGTGCAAGTAAATCTTAATTATATATAAAAAAAAAAAAAAAAAACAGGTGACAGGTACCAAAGGCAGCTAGATGGCACACAAGGTAGAAGCAGCGAAAGAATATTCTTATATCTCCTGAGGAGACAGGATCTGAACATCAGGAGAGTGAAATTCAGTGCATAACAGGAGTTATTTAATTGGATTTGTTTGTTTATTTAATTGTTCATTTGTCGTTTGAAAGTTGTTATCCTGATAGCTTGCATACAACAAGGATAGGTATTCTATTTATTTAGAATTGTCAGCAGAAGCACAAGAAGAAATGAAAACACTTTTTCTTTCTCATATATTTAAAGGCTAAATGGAAAAGTTACGAGAAATATAATACTTTGTATGGTGCACCTCTCACAGATTGTCTGATATGCAGAAACAGAAGGCTGTCCTGTATCAACAAAAGATTTAGCTCTTGTAGGTTGCGCATTTTTTAAATTGTGACCACCAGTTGTGAAATTCTCCAAAATTAAATTACAAACTGCTTAATAACACCATATAAGGACTTATATGTACATACCCACACACAATTATTGCACACAGTACATATCAATCGTGAGTCTTCAATCAAGCATTTCTCTAGACATAGATTAAAAATACACCAAACAGGTTTCTCAAATTATGGTGACTTGATTCGACTTGATATGCTCATTTACATGTTGCATTGCATCATTAAAAGTATGGAAATATTTTTCAGTTCAGTGTTTATCAACTGAAAGGAAAGGGACCCTGATAATCTGTCACTGAATTGTGCAACAATGTCAACAATGTTTTGCATTTTATGTTTACTTTTATTCATACAAAATGTGCATTTTCCTATATTTTTAATCAAATGAAGATCAATTCATGAACTGACTTGTTGTTATGTTACATTGGATATCATAAATTAATAAGTTTAAAAAATGCCTTGCTTCTGTGGATGTCTGGACTAATAACTAGAGGATCAGAGAGGCGATACCGCCTCCGAATATTGTGCCACCAGCTGGAGTAAGTGCATTCGTATAGACCCCCCCACACAAAAAAGGGACACCACCACCAGTCTTGTGCTTGACAAGCTGTAAAAAATGCAATCAACAAGAATTCTCAAAATATGCATAAAAAAAATATTACTAAAAATGGTACAATCAAAGTTCAGTTCATAGGAAGGTAGGTCAAAAGTCAATTTCAAGGTCATAGTAAATTTCCAGTATATGACTTCCTATTCAAGTTCAATAGCAACTATGGACCTATCTCAGCCAGTTTTGGAAATAAAAGGGAAGCAAAATTTGCTAACTTCAATTCATGATAAAAAGTAGGTCAAAGGTCAATTCTAAGGTCACAGTAAATTGCCTC